GTATTTCAAATCTGCGCGCATCGCCTCGCGAGTAGAAACATACCGAGTAACTGGACACACATGCCGGGAGATATTATCATTTCTCCGAATCACATGTTTCCTCTGGTAGATATTTTTCATTTCCGCGAACGCGAAGAACACGAAAAACCGTGAGAACGGTATTTAACGTTTCGATCTTTAATCAATAGAAGACAGCCTCAAAGTGCTTTATTGTTGAGGCATTCGTAACGCATTCAAATTATCGTCCGTAATGCACTGACATTTCTAACATTCAGATTATCGATCACGAGAGAGAGAGAGAGAGAGAGAGAGAGAGAGAGAGAGAGAGAGAGAGAGAAAGAGAGAGAGAGAGAAAGAGAGAAGGACTCATCAGTCATCCGCAGATACGCGTCCGACAGCTGCGCGCATAGTTCTTGAAAAGTAACAATGACGAAAGGACCGCCACGTTGGACACATCGACGCGTGCAAGCGCACCTCGCTCGGATCTATTAACGTCGCCGTCGTCGTTACTTTCCACGTCTTGATGTCATTTGAAGAACCCGTTTAGTACGTCGCACGTACGCTCGCGCGCACGCGCGGTCTCCGGCTCGTAATTCGAGATAAATGGCGCACAATGCGGCGTCGTAACGCCGTTGTAAAAAGGATTGTGATAGAAAGCCGGGTGGAATCCGGTCGAATTTCTATCGCGGAGTTCACCCCGTCCGGTGGACCTGCACCCGTTCACTCGCTCTCCCGAGGCTGACGGTGCAGAACGTGTCTCCGGTTCCTCGGCCGCGCGAGCGCGCGCGGCTAAATATTTTATCCTGCGACCGGCTCCGCGCGTTCGCTGCGCCGTCAGTTTGCGCTTATCCCTATCCTTAGCCGGTGAGGCACGATTTTTGTCTCGAGGATCTCTCCGCGAACCTTCTCTCCCTCTCTCTCTCTCTCTCTCTCTCTCTTGCTCTCTTCTCTCTCTCTCTCTCTTCTTTCTCGGATTTATCTACCGATAGGCGCGTATACACGCGTATAAAACGCCCGCGGCGCCGTCGTAAACACATCGCGAATTGCATTTAACTGTAAGGCGAGCAACGCTTGGCTTTTTTCGCGGCGATCTCGCATCGAGGAGGTTGGTTTATCGATCGATGAGCGAACGCGTGCGTGCGATGTAATTTACGGCGCGTTGTTGCGCCTAATTGACTCCCCGGGCGAAACTTGACGCTCCGTGCGATGCGTTTCACAGCGAAATCGCTAATTCGCATTGATATTTTATCGCCCGGCCCGTCGTTAATGTTATATTTTATTGAAACGACTCGGTGCGGTAAAGCGATACCGCGATTATGACGCGATTATCCCGGACTCGACTCGCAGGCGGATCTATGAATATATGCGTGGACGCGCAAAAGCCGACGCTCGCGATGCAAATTTCGCGCGAATATCGATGATCGATTAAACGCCCGGACGTATCTAAAGGAGAGGACGGAAAAAAGAAAATACCTGACTCAACGCCAGAGACGCGCGTGGGTCTCATTATACCGGGGCCTGTTATTAGCACCGTGTGTATGCGTGTGATTAGCTTGAAAACTCATCGGACGAGTGAGAAACGACCCGAGTGAAGCGTGCTCGTCCAGACGTGCGAAACGATACGTCGAAATACGTCGCTCGGCGCGCCGGCGGGTGTTGCGAATGTCAAAGAGTGTTTTGACGCGACACTGTAAAACCTGATTCTCTCTCGGCGGTTTCACCGCGCGCGCGAAAGAAGCGAGCGTCTCTTCCTTTCTTCTCTTTCTTCACCGTTACACCGGCCAGTCACGATTAGCCATGCTCATTAATAATTCAGCGCAATCCCCTTGTATCGCGACGGAGGATATCCTTTGGGTAGGACGAAGAGAAGCAACTCGCCTCGCGACATCCGTTGGAAATAAATGCTAACGTTTTTCCACCCCCCCAGGAGGAAACGCTCGCGCGAAGCGCGGCGGTCTGGTTCATCGCTCGACGTTACGTCGCTCGTACGACCGCATAATTCGGTATTTCCAAGCGCGACGGAGTGATATAGAAAGTACGCTGAATTTTTACAGAAGCACGCCAGACCGAGTGACATTCTGTGTTAGTATCGCGGTGAAAATAACGCGGGACGGACGCTCATTGTGTCGCCGGCCGGAGAAACCGAGCGACGCTTGCGGTTTCGACAAGGCCTGGCTCGCGCTTACGCGAGAAAAGCTTACCTTGAAAATGGCCGTAGCGCGATAAATACGGCATGCACTCTCAAAACTCTTGCGCTTTCTCTCATTCGTCGGCACTAGACGCCGCAACGAGGAGAATGCGGTCTCTCTCTCTCTCTCTCTCTCTCTCTCTCTCTCTCTCTCCCTCCCGGTGCTGAAATATCGGCTCACATATCGCGAATGATCGAATCGGCCGTTTCGAGAGGAAGAATCGCCCAAAGAAATGCAAATGAGAACGCTGCAATAAAGAGGCCCTCCCCTCCTCCTTCTCCTCCTCCTCCCGCCGGCCCGTCGGTGATTAATCGGCGAGGAGCACCGAACGCTGCGCGCAAGAACAGAGAACGCCGCGCAAAAAGCGCCAGGTAAGACGAACAACAATCGGTCGCGTGATTTTCCTCAATTCGGCCGCCGCGGCGAGCCGATTTAGGAAAGCGACGCTGGCGGCGGTGGCGCAACTTTTCTTTCCTCCGGCTCGAGAGACGCGTTCCAACCTCCTGTTCTCTCTGTTTCCGCGGCCGCAGCCGCGAGTGCGGCGAGAGAGTCGAACGGCCGCTCGGCGGGGCTCGGCTCTCGCAGGATTGGAAACGACGAAAAGTGAAAAGTGAAAAACGTCCACCGAGCTGTCGATTCAATTACGCGAGAGCGATCCGCGCGGCGCTTTCACGCTGCGTGAACAGGTGAATCCGCGATGAATGCGCGAAGACGCAGCCCGACGCGGCGTGGAATATATACGCGATCCTTTCCTCGGCGCTTCTTTCTTCCCCCATCGCGCTCGATACGTCCGTTCGCACGTCCGCACGGAGGATACAGAAGACGCCCACGCGAGGATCAGACGGATCGCGCGATTGTGACTTGACAAATTCGCCGGACGTCGCACCATCCGGCGCGAATTTATGCCGTTATAACGAAAAAGGAGAGAGAGAAAAAAAAAAGCGCGTCGGCACGAGGTCGTCGCACGACGAAAGTGAGAGGACTCTCAGGTAACCCGGAAGGACAGAACGAGTTTCTTGGTACAGCGACGAAGGTCCTGACGCTGTGTGCGTGCACAGCGCGACCGCACAGCCCGCGACAGCCGCCGCGAAATTGTCCGATTGTGATCGGGATCGGCGGCGATTTTTCGCGGAAAGGCGCGATCGAAAGTCCGCCCCGAAGGAGCGGCGCGGGTTTTATCGCGCGGCCGATCCGTCGATCGCCGATATGTAAGTGTTGCTCCAGTTGTCTCTCTCTTTTCGTTCCGTGATATAACGCCGCTGCCGAGAGAGCATCGATACGGATGACTGGGACTCTCATTTTATAGCATTCTCATGCCGTCCGCTGACGACTCGTTAACCAGTTATTCAACAGTTCGGTAAATTGCTTCATTATTCGCCCGACGTTGTAAAGTGTCCCGAAGACAACAACGAGTCATTCCGGCTTGTTGAATGAGAGGAGAGTAGAGTCGCGTCTCGTAAGCGACGGCATTTTACCTTGTAACTTCTGTCGCGCAGCGGAGAAAATTGTACGAATAATTGAGATATATAATAATGGGAGAAGGTTCGTCGACCCCCTCGCGGGATATAAATATATCCGCGTGAGAGGAGAGAATGAACGAGGAGGTAATCGCGACACCGCGATATTTCTCGGCGGTGCAACGGACGACCGTTACAAAATTGTTAGAGACGATAATGGCCTGTCTATCGGCCGTCGTGGAGATAATTCCGAGGTTTTACATTCCCGCGCCTTGCACAACCGCGACACGGAGCGGCTCGCGCTCGGCGCTCGGATTTTTCGATCTAACGAGGGAGTTGCACGTGTGGAACGCTTGCCATTTTAATAGAACCGATTATACATCGCCGGCATGTGTGTAATTATGAAGCTTCGGGAAACTCGCACTGATTAATCGTCAGCTGCGACAAAGTCTACGCCCTAGTAACGACACGGACGCCGAGCGATCCCGCGCGCGGTCGTTTCAATCCTGCTCGAATAGATCTCTTTTCAGACCGGTTCCACGCGCTGGTCTCGCATGAATCCATGCGTGATGTAATAACTCCGTCGTGCAACGAAAAGGAAAAAGACGGGCGAAAAGAGGAGGAGGAGGGAGGGGAAAAATCGGACGAGCTCGAAAATCGCACTGCGCGCGCGAGGGGGAGCGTTGACGTTACGCCCGGGCAGATCCGGTCGCGACTGCCGATTCGAGGATGAGCGACGGCTGCGTGACTCTTCCCGATGAATAGCCGCGAAAATGCGAGCGACCACGATCTCTCCGCTTCTGACGGTCCGAGACGGATCGTCGACCGATGAAACGGCGCGTTTCACGCTCAGCGCGGATCGACGGACGAAGAGAGACGGAGAGTATGGAAAATTGCCGTTCTCTCCATTTGACACGACCGATTAAGTATAATGTAGTAATAATGCACGCAAATAGGTATGTGTGGAATCAATAATCGCGCATGGTGACGAGTCGGGATATTCATCGGAAGTGACACGAGCGCAAGCTCGAACTCGAAAGTCCTCGTCGGTTCTCGCGGGGCCTCTCGTCAAACTGGTCCTCCCTCGAGCCCGACGTGATTGAATTGTTTTCTCGGCCGCGAGATCATTACGTCGAGAATGAGTCGCCTCCTGAGGGGAGAAATACCGATACTTGATGAGGATTGCTGTTTCAGATAAACGCGGGGGGGGTTATTTCGACCACTCATTCTCCGAGACTCGAGGGAGCCAGAGAGACAACGCGAGTTGGCGAATTGAAAAGTATCACACTTTGCGTATCGCGCTTCGATCGAACCTCATGGGAGATCCAGCGCAGCGCTGCGGAATCGTACTCACCATGATTGCTCCAATCAGTCAAAATAACAACAACAACAACTGTCCGTTGTACCGAGCCGCGCGCGAGTGCAGACAGCCGACGAAAAATCCCCCCGGGACAGTGCCTTACGAAGAACGGGAGAACAGCGTAACGTAGAAAAGAGAAAACTCAACAACGCGACAGAACTGTCGGAGCAAAAAAACTCGGAGGGATCTCGTGAATGATACGGATCAATGATCGAGGATCCGCCGCCGCATGATCGCATGAACTGTCACTGACAGCAGTTCGGGAAACACTGACTGCGGCGAACCAGCCTACTGTCATTCTCTCTCTCGCTCTCTTTCATTTTCCCTCTCTCTAGATGTGCTACCTCTCTCTCTCTCTCTCTCTCTCTCTCTCTCTCTCTTACTCACTCTCTCTCTTACTCACTCTCTCTCTTACTCACTCTCTTTCTCTTATTCCCTCTCTCTCTCTCTCTCTCTCTCTCTCTCTCTCTCTCTCTCTCTCTCTCTCTCTCTCTCAGTCACTGCCTCCCTCTTTCTACCTGAGCAGGGTGCAGCCTCTCTCTTTCTTGCTCGCGCGCTGCACATTTTCGCAGCACATTTCCAGATGACGGCGGCGGTGACGACGAAGACATCGTTTTCGTCGTCGTCGTCGTCGTCGTCGTCGTCGTCGTCGTCGCAGCCGCGATGGCAATTAAAGCTGCCTTTCATTTTGCGTATAGTAAGCGACAGCACGCGACTGTAGCTGAAATCGGTCGCACAGAGCGGCGCGCGAAAGATCGGCGTTGGCGAAGACGTCGGGCGGTTCGCCTGGCGGTCAGTTACACGCCAATGCCGATCATTTATTCGCGTCGGTCGATCCTCCCGTGCGACACCTCGGACTTTTTCGACCGTCCCAGCTGGGATATTGAGATTCGGAGATTACGACATTACGATACGCTCGCGATCGAGCCCCTCCCTCTCTCATTCGGCCGCTGAATGAGTTTGGAAGAACGTACGCGATCTCGTGCTCGAATATCGGTAGCGTTGGAATTCCTCGGGAACGGACACGCTCCCGCTGACATTCCATTTTGATTTTTATTCGCGGCGGAGCGATACTGGCCGGCCGCATGAGGCGAGACGTATAAGTATAACGCACAATGTAGCAGGAAATCGTTGTCTACTTCGTGATCGCGCGCGGCCGCGCGAGTTTAATGTGAAGCACGACCGGGCGTGCATAATGCGACTGGTATACACGTAATCGATCGGTTATTCTAATGTCGCAACGCTCGCCATATAATTGGGGAAATGTTCCAGCAAGTTGTCGATAGCGATCGCGCAATTACTTTGCGGAGAATAGCCGGGCCACGATACGCCGTCGATAAATAATCCACGTGGCGCGCGATGTTTATGCGCATAAATAATCGTCTTCCGAGACGGGGTCGAAACCGAATCTGGCGATTTCCCGCCGGCCGGAGACATAGAAAGTCGACGATCGATTCGCCGCCGAGGAATCACAACGGAGGATGGTCGCGCGCGCGCTCGCCTCGCGTGAAAATCTTCTCGCGAGGAGAATCTCCTACGCGCAGGAGCCGCGCGGCATTGTCCTGCGCCGTGAACCAATGAGACGCGCACTTGTGCGCGCTCGCGTCCTCTCGCGAGTCACTTCCGGTGTTTCCCGCGATATCGGTACTCCTTGCTGCGAAATTTAGACTTTAAAACTAATAACCAGAGATTTATAATAATTGTAATAATTAATGTAATTTATATAGTAATTTTATCAACGACATCTTAGTCTCTCGCGATATTTCAGTGGTTCTCGTTGCGAAATTTAAGCTCTGAACTAAAGATCGCGGCTTTCCAGAAATCTTCGAGAGAGACTTTTGTAATAATTATAATAATTAACAAGGCTTGTAATAATTTTATCAGCGATGTTTCAGTACTCTCGCGATATTTCAGTACTTCTCGTTGCGAAATTTAAACTCTGAACGAAAGTTCGCGGCTTTCCCGAAATTTTCAAGAGAGAGAGAGAGAGAGACCGAGAACGTGAGACTTTTGTAATAATTATAATAATTAACAAGGCTTATGACAATCTCATTGGTCGATATCGGTGGATTTAATCGAGTGTTTTCGATCGATCAGTAAAATTCTGCATTTATGGTTTACTGTGAGATCATTTTGCCTCAATTTTTTATTTCTATGATATCTCTTATATTATTTTCATATTTTCCTGATAATACGAAATATTGTTGTGTTATAATATTATCCTTGGCGCACGTATAAATTGAAAAAGCTCTCCTTGAGCGAGAAACCGCGAGGTTCATAATGTACGAAAGAATACGTATCTTATAAGGAAGATGTTCCGCGCTCGGCGGGCTTCCGTACAAGCTCTTGATTACTGGTCTGCTTTGGTTGATCGTATCGCCATAATTATCTTATCTAAAAGGTCGGTATAATGAAGAACGAAGTTAGAGAACTTCCGCTGAAGAAAAGAAGAGCGGTCGCCGGCAAATTACTTCCAGAATGCATTTCTATTGAGTGTTGCACGTTAAAGACATCCTGCAGACGACGTGTGCGACGACGGATTCATTGTCGCCTCGGGAAACGATTCAGAGAGGATTAGCGCGACCTGTTTTTTTCTTCCTCTCTCTCTCTCTCTCTCTCTCTCTCTCTCTCTCTTCCTCCCTCTCTCATTTTTTCTCTGTCTTCACGGTCACAACGCGCATTACAATCGATCGTGCGTCTGCTGAAACACTGCTGCGAAGATAGGCGAATCCGGCATCCGGCTGGACGGCTCATCTTTCAGGATCCGTCACTCGTGATCCTTTGTATCCTCCAACGGTAACGATCGGCGGTAACTCAAACGGCAACGTCGAGTCGCACGCGCCGCGTAACGAGCTCTTCCGTCTCATTAGCGTTAAATCATCCCGCAGGTACATCGCACGCAGTGATTCACACCTGCGTGGCTTTAGCCAGATTAAGGGAGGGAGGAGAGGAAGAGGAGGGAAGATGAGGACGAAAGTAACAGGACTCCTCTAATTCGCTAATTATCGCGATGGCACGCTCCGTCGTCGGCTCGTTTTCAAAAGGCGAAAGCGCCTGTCCGTCGGTTCTTCTTCTTCCTCCTCCTCCTCCTCGTGGATTCCTCTTCCTGCGGGTTTTCCTCCTCGCCCGGCGTTTTCCCCTCACCGACGCCGCCGCCGCCGACGCCGCGCTTAAGCTCGAGCGGGTGTAAGAATTTCAGCGTGAAAATGCAACCGCGCGCGCTCCTTTCTCTCGGCCGGCTGTTTTAACGACCCGCGCGCGCGATATCTGCATAATTAACGTTATAGAGAAATACAAATCTCGCCCGCACGGCGATCGCGCGCGCCGCAGTTTGAACCGCGAAACGGTCGTTAACCCTTTCTCTCGCGCAGCGGTAATAGGCGCTCGCTCGCTCGCGCCGGACTCCGTCGGGTTTCGAAAATTACTTCTGCGAGGAGTTATTTGTTATAAGTTATTCCCACGTTCCTTTCCGCGCGTGTCAACGGGTGGATTACTCAACGCGCTCGTGACCGGAGAGCCTCGATTTTCAAGTGTCCGACGATTACGACGAATCGAGAGTCGGAGCGGGTGGAGGAGGGAGGGGGAGGGGGGGGTGGAGGAGCGGACGGGAGAGGTCTTTTCTTCCTCTCGGCCGTTCGGTCGAATGAGATATTTCGTACGAGGTGTGACTTTGCGAAACCGCGATCGCGTCTTCCCGAGGGAGGCGGAAAGACAACGAGAAATGGATCGGTAAACGAGAGAGAAAGGGGACTTCAGTTGATGCTCATGTTATATTTCCTCGTCCTTAATCCTGTGTGTGGTAAGAAATTTGCGCAGAGATACATAATGTCGCAGTAGGATCAATCGTCGTGACTCTCGTCGTAATGAATTTACATCGCAATAGTAACAACTGTGTGTCTCTTATACAATACACGCGAGAATATAGCACGCACGCGTACACGTAGCGTTACGGTAAATCGCATTGACGGTGGGTCGCCGGTGGTTTACGGGGGGACATTCGACACGGCAAGTGCATCGGCGAGGTGAGATGTGCGCGAGGCGACGTCGATCGGCCGATCGACCGATTGACACCGATCGATCGGTCGGTCGATCGATCGTACCGGAGGACGACTGCCAGACGGCGGCAAGCGGCACGATTCTTCCGATTTCCTTCTCCTCCTGCTCGCCTCTTCGTCCTCGCTCTCCGTCGGGGAAACCCGCGAGCGCAAGAACGATCGGGTTTGAGGCGCTTCGCTTGGTCGCGGCTGCGCGACTACTCGCACTCGGGACTTTTCGGGGATTTTCAATCGGGATCGAGCGACGACGTCGTACGAACGGACGACAAATCGTCCTTTCTCGTTTCCTCCCGCGCACGCGATGGTAAATCGTACGGGGGGGTGAAGAAGATTCACGAGCCGCCTCGGAGTGCGCGCGAGCGCTCTTACGATTACGATTGTTCTCGCGAATGGCGCGATCGGTACGAGGGACAACGCTGTGTATCGCCGGCGACGTAGGACGCGACGGTAATGGAGAATCGGCAGATTCTCGCAGAGTAAGCGAAAGACTGGGAAACCAGGGTCCCGGAGGAGCGGCGAACGATCCGGAGAGCGAGAGCGAGACGGTGCGTCCTCGTGATCGACCGGACGCCGTCGCTTCGCGATCGAGATCGGCGCGCGTTCGTTCTTCTCATTTCGGCGGCTATCGCGTCTCGATCGCGGCTCGATCGCGGATCCGCCGCGATCGAGCCGCGCCGCGAGCGTCCGCCGATTTCTTCCTCTTCCTCCTCTGCCGCTGCCGATCTCTTCCACCGGCTCTCCTGCTACTCCACCTTTTCGTGGTCTGTCCGAGATTCCTCTCGCCGCGGATGAACGACCGGCTCTCCTCCTCCTCCTCCTCCTCTCTTCCTCCTCGCACGCTCGCGTATGCACGCTTCCTTCTTCTGCTGCTGCCCTTCCTCCGCTCCGGCTCGATTACATGATTATGCACTTGCCTTTCTCGGCCCAGGGATTGTTCTTCTTGTCGGGCGCGTGTATCAGCGGGTCATTCTTCTCGTTTTCTTCAACGTACTCCCGCATCCTGCGGGGATAAAGAAGAGGGTCAGTGTGTATATACACGCTCGCTCGCGCGCACGCTGTTCTCGCGTAATGCTGAAATTGCAGCCTCGCCGGCGTGCGTTTACCCCGTCGCGGCTTACCTAAGAGGGGACGGTGGCGCAATGAGCGTGCGATTGTGATTCTCTCTCTTTCTCTCTCTCTCTCTCTCTCTCTCTCTCTCTCTCTCTCTCTCTCTCTCTCTCTCTACCGAAATTAATCATTCGTTTCCTCGCGACTATCTTTATCCTCGCACGAGCTTGCATTTCTTTTTCTGCTCTTCTTTCCCTCGCCCGCTGCTCCTTGAGCAGTGATTCATTTACGCCCGCGAGAGGAAGGTGTGATCGATCGCGTCTCGTGTCCCGGAGTATGAAGACAAATTTTCATCAGACGTCCTCTCTTTCTCGAAAGAGAGAGAGAGAGAGAGAGAGAGAGAGAGAGAGAGGTGCGACGCGCGCTCGTCAATATGTAAAAATAACATATCGAGAGACTCGATATATAACTCCCCATGAGAGGAACACACGCATGAGAGGATCGCGTCCGCGCGCCTCGAGTAAAAACAGTGGCGATTTTTCTTCCGCGCGCAGTTTCATTCATTCGTCCGTTTATTTATTCGTGTCCAAACAGGCGAGACATCCTTCACCGATCCTTTATGAGGCGATACCAAACAGATGAACGTGCAAAGGTAGAAGAGGAAGCATCAACCGGCCGTCAGCCCGGCGCGCGACTTTCCTGAAAGCGTCGCTGTTCTCCTATGAACTCGGGGGAGAAATCCTATCCGGCGGAGATCAGTTTTCCAGGATCTCCCGGAGAATGTCCTCGCGGAGAGGCGGTGGTGCACGCGCGATAGGTTAGCCGCGATTTATCAGATCGCCGATAAGTTCGCGCCTCCGCACGGCCGCGCGTTTACGGCGTTTACTCGCGGAGCGAGCCGGCGGCCGTTCCGTTCGACGGCGAAGAAGTCGACGGTGAAAGGGACTGCGCGCGGCCGATTTTGCGTTCAAGGAGAGTCGCGCGCACGGCAAGCGGCCAGGCGGGTGGCCGGCCGACAGACGGACCGACAGAGCACGAAGCTTTCGGACTTTGTTGCCGAAGGCGGGCTCTCGCGCGCTCGCGCGAGAAATATCCGCGGAATTCCTTCCCGCGGGATACGACCGTTCCGCTCGCCTCGCGCCATCGCTGACCCTTCACCGGCACTCGCGACTTTCGCGGCGGCGCGATTCGCGACAAATGGATCGGAAATCGCGCTGGAGCACTGTTTGCACGCTCCGCCTCTCTCGGTGAACTTTGTTCGCGCCGAGCGGCGCAAGCGGCAAGTGCGGCTTCAATGACACGGCGCGCTCGCGCTCGCGTGAATGGGCAGCGCGAGGTCAGCCGAGCAAGGATTGCCGCGTCTCTCTGGTCGCTTCGCTAACGCGTCCAGATCAGAATATTCGTCGCTGATATGGGAGTCGGTTCTTTTTAGCTGCACTACTGAACTGGTGCAATAAGTTGAAGTGAGAAAAAATATAGTTGTCTCATTCTAACTTATAGCTAAAAAGAACAGACCAATGGGCGACTCGCGGGCTTTGGATGCTCTTGCGCTCGTAAGAGAGAGAGAGAGAGAGAGAGAGAGAGAGAATTTTTTTCAGCCATTTTGCTCGATCCGTCAGCGTTATGCATGAAAGGACGACTCTCTTCGTATGAGCGTATCAGGACGAATATCGCAGGAGGATATCGGCTACACCCACAGGAAAGTCTTGTGTAATTAACCCTCAACGGACGTTGGTGTCAATTTGCCTCTTTTTGAAATTCATTGGAATGGAAATTTTCTCCGATTGATCTCATCTTTCGGCTCCTGGCTCTATCGAACTATAAAATACATCGTTGCTTTGTTTACTTTACACTTTACATGTGAACTTCAACTTCAATTTACTTGCGGCAATCAAATTGATCCTAACACCAGACTTGAATTTTGAAATGAGTGTTCTACGAGGGTTCAGCACGACGTTCCTCTCTGAGTCGTGTAACGTGGCAAGGATAAGACGTTATCGACTTCGTTATATTATACCGTTGAATGTCGCGCAGCCCGAAGGATATCGCTTCGTGACGCGGGGAATCCTGCGCGAACGAAGCATTTTGCATTCTTCAGGATCCTACGACGCGGAGAAAACGAGACCTTATTCGTCACGTGAATGTTAATATGAATATCGCCGCTTGTTAAGGATATCGGTTGCGCGCACATTCCTGAGGAATTTTTATAAACTCATAAAGATGTATTTTTCCATCACGTGAAAGGAATAAGACCTTCGTTGTTAACGAAGGTTAACGCGACTATCGCAGTGCGTAAAAAACACGAGCCGCACTGGCCAGAGAGAATCTCGTGCGAACCGACGGAGCGGTTCTTCCAAATTTCTCCATGTCGAAAGGAAAGAAAGGACGCACGACGTCTGCTTCCGCAACAGAGCTCTCCTCTCGGATAGTCCTCTTGCCTTATCTTACCTTGCGTTGCGCGCGTAAATTTGATGTCGTTAACGACGAGCGTGCATCTCGCACGCCTGATTGGTGGCGATTATCAGAGTTCGTGCGGGAATCGCGAACTTTCACTTATCAGGGTCCGCGTCGCGCAATTTTTAAATTAGGGTGAATGACCTTCCGGCATCCGCGTGTCGCAACGCCGCCTGCCGATCGATCGGCGCGCGCGCGCGCGCGATCTCAGCCGGGCCGTCTATTACTCGATCGGCCGTCGTTTATATAATGAAAACTCTCGGCGGAATCGGAGCGCGGCTCGACTCTCGCGGCACGATATCGAGCAAGTGCCATCGAGCGAATCTGTCGCGAAGGAGTGAGCGCGCGATTCTGCTCGCTTTACGCTCGACTTCGCCGTCCGTCAGACTTTCGTGTCCTATCTGCGCGGTCATTCCGATGGAAGTTGCGCGATTTGACGCACGAAGACCGAGCGAAGCGGCTGGACGAGACGCCGGAAAATCCCACAGATTCCAGAGTCATCCGAATGCCGAGGGAAGAAGAAGCGCGTTAAACGAGAGACGACGAGCTCTCTCGATCAGTTCGGTTGACTCGCGATCGGCGAGCGACGAGGAAGACAGCCGCGGCGGCGATCTCAAATCTACACGGCCGGTCATCGGCGATTCATTGTTATCGCCAACGAGGACGACGCGCGGGGAATTCTCGCGCGGAGAGCCGCGCGTGAAAACGGGAGCGCGCTCGGAGCTCTGCGGAGCGCGTCGCCGCAACAGCAGCGACGCAACAGGCGGAGAGGCGCCGAAGTTCGGTCGGGTTTAAAGGAGGTCATCCTGAATTCAGGAACCGGCGAGAGAAGCGGCCGAGGCAACGCTCCGCTCGAGCCAGCTCTTCGACGCGCTACTCGCGACCGTTTGCGTCTCCTGGACATTTCGTCTCAACGATTGCCTGGGAAAAGAAGTCCCAGTTTGCGCAACCGAGCGGGAACCAGACGAGGATTCGAGGACGAGCGAGGAAAACAACTTCGTCTGAAAATTCGGCTCGCTCGGAACTGCGAACGTTAAATTCCCAACTGGCTGAAATTTCTCGGCTGAGATGGCGAGAGCCGCTTCGCGGATATTTCCGGCGCTAACGCGGTCATCAGCGGTCGCTGCGGAAAAACTGCGGAAAATGCGGCTGCGCCGCGGAAAACGCGCGGCACAACGCTGAGCGGAGCTCGAGTTACCGCGGAAGGTTTCCGTAACTTTGCGCCTCGCCGAGGCTGTCAAAGGCGCTGATTACATCGGAATTCGATCGTTAGCGGGGAAACCGCGAGACGCGAGCGCATCGCGGCGCGCTAATAGGCCGCGGCTCGGCGATCCGTGAGCGTGCGGGAAATAGGCGCCGCGGCTGGCAGCAGTTCCGGCGTGTGCTCCGGCTTGCGGAACGACGCGGAACCGACGCGTTTTCAGCGAGCGCGCGCGCGCGCGCGTCGTCCGACCGTCCGTCCGTCCGTCCGTCCGTTCTCGCGCCGCGCGAAAGCAAAAACAAAGCGAAAGCAAAAAAGTTTCCGCGGTCTCTCGCGAGAGACTCCGGCGGGAGCGAGAGCGCGGCGCGGTGAAAGGCGGCACCTCCTTCGCCGCCGTCCCGTCTCTCCCGCCTCTCCCCGCAGCCGCCGTCGTCTTTCCCGTTGCTTCCCCCTCGCCTTTCTTTCCCGTTTCTCGTCTCTACCAGCCGCCGATCGACCTGATCTCGCGCCCCTGTGGCAACACGACAATGCATTTCCACCCCGCTTCCTGGATCCTGCTCTCCCGCACCTTTCGTCGCGCTGACGCAACCCCGGCTGTTGCGAAACCTGAGGTGAGGCTGCCGCGAGTTCGCGGATGTTTGCGGCTTTTCGACGGCTTGTCGTCCGCGGGTGTCGATGTGTTACCGGAGTATCCGATATTCGTCATCGGCGACGGTCGGAAAAAGCGCACTCGCTCGCAAATCAACCCCGTCGTGCGCGAGGACCGATGTCTACCAGGCTACCGCTCGAGTTCCGAGCGTGCGCGATGTTAACGACGAGTCTGACTTGTATTGAATCTCACAGGATCAATTATAGATCTTATTGTGGTAAAACTTTAGAATAGGGCCTTTACCGAATTTTGATATTTATTTGCTACTCTCATGGTAAAAATCTTTGTTGCGACTCCGACAGTGATGATCAATCGGGGGAGTCCGAAAAAAATGTTACCCACTTATTTTTTGAACAATTCTTTTTGGTAAATATTCAGAAGTACTATTATACCAAAAACTACGTTTTCTTACTCAGTAATTTACAAAACTAGCTATAAAAAAGCATGTATACAAAGTCTTACATATATATTAAGGGAGGAGGGGGGGGGGGGTGGGGCTAAGATCTTTATAGGAAAAAACATGAAAATTTTATTCCATATATTTAAAATTTTAAATATCGATTTTATACCGACTGATTAAATACCGTTCACAGTTGTCACTCGAATCTTTCGCCTTACTAAACAGGTGAGTCTACGATATACTAAAAATGAATACTGAAAAGATTAGCAAGACTTCTACGCAAGGTAGGACGTATCATAAATTACAAGCAAAATAAAACAGAGCATTATTCACAATCATGCTCTGCTTTAATCAAAAGCACAAATTTATATTATAAAGTCTAAATTATGGCGGAGAATAATTTGTCTTTGGTTTATTAGAGTTCATTGAGTTTTTTATACTTTTATTCAATAGTTTAAATTTGGTGCGTTTTTCCTTCAGAGTTTTATGAAATCCGAAAAAACTTGAAAAAAATAGATCGGTAACATTTTTTTCGGGCTCGCCCCATTGATTATCATTGTCGTAGTCACAACAAAGATTTCTATCCAGCAAGTAGCAAAAATATATCAAAATTCGGAAAAGGCTCTATTCTGAAATTTCACCCTTATTATTTTGCCAATAACCAACCCCCTGAAAAATGGCTCCCGCGAGGTTACATGCGGATCGAGCTGCAACCTCGTCCTTTCCGAAGACAAATGCAACTAGACGCGTCCGTCGAGCAAATGCCGTCGCGCGGTGCGGGGACGAAAAGAAGCGACGCGCGGGAAAAATTTCGAAGAAAAACACGCGAACGTCGCTGTCGACGCGCGACATTCAAAGTGAAGCCTTCGTCGCGCCGCGGGCGCTTGATGGCATCCTCGTTACGAGCCGGCCGCGCGTCTCTCCGAACAATTTCACAGGCATTGCAAAAGATGTCGGCGGGCATCGAGAGAAAGAGGAAGAAGGAGGGACGGAGGGACGGCAAGAAAGAGAAAGAAAGAGACTAACAAGGCATCTCGCTCGCGCTCAAGCAGCGGTCGTCAACGTCACGTCGAACGACGAGAGCGGCCGGGAGATTCGGAATTTTGCGAGGCCTCGCGTTCGCAATCGCGAAGCTCGCCGCTCGATCATTAGCCGGAACGCGACGCGAGCAGGGTATAATTAGAGGCGCGCCGTCCGTCAGGCTGCGACCGCGACGGAGGCTGCGAGGATAATCCGCGCGCTCTTTTTTGCGCCCTGCCTATCGCTCGTTCGCGTGACGAAAGCGCGCGGGCGAGTTACATTATTAGCGGGGACGATCTCGATCGCCGGCCGCCGCGGCCCAATTAGATCATCGATCATCGCCGTTGAGTCACCGTCGCGATCTCGCGCCCTCCCGCGCGAGCCGCGCCGCGAGCCGCGCCGCCGCGCGTAATAATCTCCGCTGAAAGTGAGTGTGCGGCGAAAACACGATTAACGGACACACACCACGCGCGCGCGCGCGTCCAAGGAGATCCTGTCCCACCGTGTAACGCGGCGACGCGGGCAATGGTGCAGCCTTGACTGTGCCGGCACGACTGCCGTCGCCTTGCCTTTATGGGCGCGAGATGATTTGTCTGGGAAAGGCGACGAGAGGTCTTTCCGCGCGATTCCCGACGCCGGAAACCGTCGCGGCCGCGCGTGTCCAGCCTTGTCGCGCGCGAGGAGAACTCGCCGGCGACAGCTCAGGATTTTCGCCTCCGTCCCCCGGGAAATCGAGTCCGAATCGGCGATGATCCGCTCTCGCGAGCGCGAGCGCGAGTGATGTAATGAACCGCGATCCGCGGCGATGTCCCTTCCCTGGAAGTAACTGTGGTGCAGAGAGGAGAATGTGCGAATCCGAATATGGGCTATCGCGCGGATTGTCAGCGGCGCGACTGGCTACTGATCGAGATTTATCTGAAAAGTACGCGATCGCTTTGCCTGGCAGGCTACTCGGAGGGCGATTCGATCGGGCTGTCTCGTGCGCGTGATTGTTGACGCCATTGTTGTCATCGACGAAATCGTTTCTTCCTTAGCTGTCGGCCAATGTTCAAATGCGTTTCTCACTGCTTGTTGTTTCGTTAACGTCCTTTTTAGATTCTGAGAAAAACGTCGAGAGAGAAATGTCGGAGCCGAGAGAGGCTCGTCACATTTCAGTCTTCGCCGACGACGAAGAGCGCCGTACGAGCGAGTGTAAGAATAATCACAGAGCTAACTGGCAGCTTTCCTCGACTCGGATTATTCTCCTTCGACTCTCGTTATCTCTTATCTAGCCGAACACGATTCGCCGGCATTCGCGGGCGTAATTGGGCCTCGAACCACCGCGGGCAAGCTGAGCCTGAGCGTTACGCGGGTTTACGCGCGAACCGATTTGCCTGGCGGGGCGTTCGGTGATTACAGGCCGGTGAAAATTACGTGAAATACGTCGTCGATTGTAGGGAACTAGGAACTGCGAGCCGTTCTGTCAAATGGCTCTCGCATAACGCGCGCGCGCGCGCCTTGCACAGCTCAGGTGTTTCCTTGAAGAAGCTTGTAACGCGAGTCGACGCCCGTGCCGCAAAAACTGAACTGTCTCGCGAACCTAATGACGTCCCTCGCTCGAGGCCGATAAAAAATGCGAGCCGCGAGCACCGGAAGATCGCGATTAGCCGCGATGAATCGCATCGAGGTCGGGGACCGAGCGACGTCGATATCTGTCGGGCGAGAAAGATGCGATGGCGCGAATTTAGAGCAATCTGCGTATAATTAACGCTCGCGCGCTTCGGCGACGACGTGAGAGACATTTGCGACGATCGATCGCGCTCGCTGACGTGATCGCACGGCTGGATGGGATCAGTTTTCCTCGAGCTTTGCTTAATCGCACCTGTCCGGCGACGAGAGTGACGATCAACGCGAAAAGGAAGGATCGCACCTTTCCCTCGAGTCCTGTCGGCTCGAGCTCGAGATATACGGGAAAAAGAAAAGAAGAACGGAACAGGCTCCGTGAACTTTCTAACGTGTTAAAAGAAGCAGAGTACTGCATAAATTTCTACAAGGTGGCTCCCTCGGACACACACGAGTGACGAATAAGCGGTGCCTTCGAGACGCTTAGGTAGCGATCAAAATAAAGCAACATCAGCGAAAGCCCAGCGTGTACCTGAAGATTACAAACACCCGTAAATAGTCCTCCCCCCTGCTCTACCCCCAACCCTCCTTACGCGTTCTCGACAAGTTTCCGAGGAATTTAAACGACGTAAGAGAACTCGACGTAAGGGAGTCCGATCGCGAGCGAGACTGAGACGATGAGATTCCCTCAGCACCTGTGCACGAGTATGGCGTATGTCTCGTCTCGGAAGGATTCGCGAGGCGACTGTAGGCAGGCAGGCAGGCAGGCAGGCAGGCAGGCAGAAAGGTATGCGAGGGGCTGGATTAAAAGCTCGCGCAAGCAATGACGATTCGGCCGGTCGCGCGATTACGTGCACTTACGCCGCGATGCTCTTGGAAAGAGGCCACCGTTCCATGGACGCCTGGTACTTCATGTTCTCGATCTGCTTCTTCAGTGCGTCCTTGTCCATGGTGGCGAGTACACTGGGATCCATGGTTACAGCCGCACCCCCCTTGTCGCAATCGGGAACGGAATAGCGCGTGCGCCTCTGCGGGAAAATCAATAGGGCGAAGAGCGGTGCTATCTCGAGTGCTCCCTGTAACGCGAACGCGGCTCTCTCTCATCGGGGTGCAGAACGAGGCAGAACGGCTCTCTCTCTCTCTCTCTCTCTCTCTCTCTCTCTCTCTCTCTCTCTCTCTCTCACTCTCTCTCTCTCTCTCTCTCTCTCTCTCTCTCTCTCTCTCTGTCTCTGTCTCTCTCTCTCTCGGGCACACTCTCTCGACCGGCATCCGAGAGACCGTCGGGAGATCGGCGGGCGACCTCGCGCGAGAGATAATGATGATGATGGATCGTCGCGCGTTACGACGCCGAGCATCGCGGGTGAAACACGAGCGACGAATGCAAACCGATCCGAGTCGGAGTCGAGTTCGGCGAACGAGCGCGTGAAAACGGGAACGGGACGCGCGACGATGACGCGCTGCTGACGGCAGGCCAGGCCACGTACGCATGTAATCAGATTTACATGCGCGTGTGTGCATGTGTATGTATGTATGCGTATGTAGGTCCGCGGTGCTTTTGTGTCTCCTTTTTCCCCTTTCCCTTTTTACTTTTCTTTCCCGTTCGCTCGGCAAAGGGCGCGGCGTGCGACCGAGAGAGTGTCGATCGCGGGACGCGATGTCCCGCGACGAAAATGATCGAGAAATCGTCGAAGTTTCAAAAGCGGAACAATCTTCGGGAGAGTCAGGATCCCGAGCAGGGAGATGAGCTCCCAAAGTGCAACGTTAACGAGATGTGAAAATTGTTTAGTTGCACGGCCGGGCGCATTAGCGCCGATTCAGCTGTGAGGTCCTTTTCTTAGTTTCATTGCATTGTTATGTTTCTCTTTTTCCGCAGCCTTTTACACGAATCAGATAAGAATCTTGTTGCACTTGTTGCACGAGAGAGAAAGAGAGAGAGAGAGAGAGAGAGAGAGAGAGAGAGAGAGAAGAATATATAGGGTGCAGCATAAAAATGTTTCCTCCATCTGCGGGTTTTTATAAACAGAAGCGTGTAGATTTTTTAGAAATAAATCTCTCGGTTGCCTTTTCAGGCCGTTCCACGTGATAACATCTTTTATTCCGTTTCATCTCCCTGTATCGACAAGCGAGGCCATGACGAATTTTTCCCCGAAGAACTGACGCTCTTACATCTCGCGATCGCGTTCGTTCTCACTTCATTATGCTTCGCGATAAGAATAATTCTCATGCGGCGTTTCTCGACATACCTTACGAGTGCTTCACGCGCTATCATCGATATAAAAATAAAACTTACGATCTAATCTCTCCTTCGCCGCTTGGACGCGCGTGTACGACATTGATCCATTTACCCTATTAATTAATTACAATAACGCATACTTGCCGCGTTACCGGCGCCGTTAATCCGATCTTAATAACGCACGACGGTCTCGCGCCGTGAAACGAGAATCTTCGGCAAATCGCGTGTCGTTACGGGATCCGATTGCGATCTCGCGCGCTTGGCGCGAGCGAACGCTCAGCGACGATCGGCGAACCGGCCGGCTCAGAAATTGATCTCGCAGAAAAAGGATTGCGCGCTGGCACAATCGAAATCGTCCATGCCACCGTCCTTCAGCAGGAATCCGCAATGCTGCTTTCCACCGGCGTTATCGGGCAGATTGGCAATCTTCGAGGTCCACTTGGTGTAGCCCGATGACTCCATGGATTCGTCTAGGATCGTGTTCCAGTCACCCTCTTCGTACAGGTCGTGCACGCCGAGCCACGCCTGGTTGACCTTGTTCTCCTCTAAAATGCGCAGCAGTAGCTTCTCCTCCGAGTTCGAGTTGATAACAGCCAAATGACCTGTGCCGACAGGCGCAGTTATCCGTCTCGTTAATCCTCCGCGAGATTTTCGGCGAGATTTTTAGTTTTCTCTTAGCGTTACTTTCTTTTCTTTTTTCAGCACACTCAATTCATTTGATCGACGAATTTCGGAGCGATTCATCCACTTGGACGAACTTCTACCATCGCGTGCGGTTGATTTAGAATCGGTAGATTTAGCATGTCCGACGTATGTTTGTGGACGGATGGAACTCGATCGACAGATCGCGACATTTCGTTCGTAAGGAGAAGGAGAATTTGTAGAGAAAAAAGAAACTTACCCCCTTCCTGGACGCAAATTCTACGAGCGCGGTTCCACGACAGTTTGCGATTGTGAAGCTTATGAGCGCCCAAGCTGGGTGTAACGAGATAATCGTTTCCTGCTTTTTCTACGAGATTGGCCGAATTTGACGCTCTCCACAGCGGCGGCCCGTTGATGAAAATGGTATGCAGCGCCGAATTTGAACCTTGACCGTATGCGCATAGCAGTTGTTGCAGCGGGCTCATATTTTCACTGGCGCATAGCGATTTGCCTGGAGTTACAAAAAACTGGCAATGCGGCCGAAACTTGACGGAAGGTCAAAGGTCGAAACCGCAAAGAGTGTACGTTGTGTACGTGTAATTGAAATGCAAACACATCCATGACCGTCCCTATCACTGCAATTATCTGCCAAGATTGCGCAGACATTTTGACGTTGTATTTTCGCACTGCGATATTTTATCGAACTGAAACTTTCCAAAGGCACTCCAGCATGGAGACACACACACACACGATAGCTTCCAGTATTTTAATCCGATATTTATGTAAGTAAGTTTATTTTTAAGCTATTCTTACGACGAGTATTGTATTGTTTTCAATATAAGATGCTTCGATATAAATAAATGAAATATAATCAGTAAAATCCAATAAATAAGTAATCTAAATATGTGTGATTTGTAGGAAATAATGGGATCGAACCTAATTGAATAACTCGGTACGAGAATGCATCGACCACAGGTGATCCACTTTGCGATTGTCGATTTTTTATTTCAGACACGCTTAAGAAGAACGTTCTAAATTATGAACACGACGAGCTTCCGCTCTGAACTTGTCGATTGTTAACTTCGCGAAGCGACCGAGAGCAATAAGAATCCCTGAATATTGCAATTACGTTCCCATTTTAATTTACCTTGTATACCGTTCGTGATGTCAGACTGGTCCGCCAATACGCAACATGCAACGCACAAAGCCGCCAACAAATATTGCAACATAATTATTACGTCTTTGTGTTAACACCGCGAATTATCAAGAACGAATGCTACGAACGAATGAGCGATGTGCTTATATATAATATGATAAAATTAATCGTCATCGTGCACAGACAGGGAAGTACAGGACTTGCCATCCCGACAGGATGTTCCGTGAGCACCACTACGATCAAAGAAAAAAAAAATGTATACATGCATGTAGAACGAAACAGCGTAAGCGAACAACGACAACGATAACGACGACGTTGATTATTTTCCTTTCAAAATTCCTCTTCAAAATTCGTTGACGATTGAAGAATGACGACACGTGTAAGCGCGTCGCCAAATTTTTCAAACGGATGGAAAGAGTTTGAGATTTTCAAACACAAAAGCTGTGATCTGCAAATTTGCCGAATTTGATCCGGTTGGAAAGGGCAGACTCGACACGACGTAATACCTCAAAATAAATCCAATAATAAACTTCACCAATCGGCGTGCGTGTGATACCAACGTGACACAGGAAGTACAACGATATTTAGCGCAGGAAATACGATGTTACTTATCAATTTGGAGAATCCCAACGAAGAGCAAGTTTTATCGGCGACAAACGGGACTCTCCGTGACGTCATTATCGCGTAGAAATAAAGATTAGTTTTTTCAACACGGGATATTGCGCGATTAAAATATCGCGCGAGCGACTTGATATCTCTGACGAAATTTAATATTACTGTCTCCGGGAGAGACATTCGGTCGCAACGAGGGGAACGTTTGTTATTCTTAAACCGCGCTGTAACTGTTCTCTAAATGTTCGCCGAAATCGAGGAATTCAAGAAGAGCGACTCCATGAGCGAAAGTTCCGCAAATTATTCAACGGCTCGATCTTCCGAAGAATTTTTCCGCGAACACGGGAGAGCAAGAGAGCCCTGCTTGTTTCGCCAGGCCGTACCAGACGTTACAATCGTCCGAAGCGAATACCGCGGCTCGACTTCCGCGAAAACGCGAATGCAAGGCGCGCGCGCGTAACCCGACGAGCGCGTTTAACTTTAAACGCGCGAGATCGTACCTGGGCGAAAGTAAACGTAGGTAATCGCATTCCCGATTGAAAAGATCAAATGTCATTGTAACGTGCAATCTGGCGGCCAATGCGGCCGATGCGGCGGTAAAGCACACGGCGATAAAATCACGGTTTCGCACCAAAAAATGTCCACGTCGCTCTTGCGTACGCGCGCTCCTGCCTCGAGTGCGTAAAATCTGCAGTTAATCCTCGCACGCGCCAATCCGGTTACGCTTAACGTCAGTCGAGCGCGTACGCAACAGTCGCAACAGTGATATAATATTGTAACGACGACTGAAAGATCTCTCGACACACAAAGCGTAAGGCACAACGTATGCCCGTAGATGCAAGAACGTCAAATTCAATCTATCGACATGGCCTCGCTGGATTCTTGCTGAATGCTAAACGAACTCGCGAGACACACGCGAGTGCGTCTCACGAAAGAAACGGCTAAATACCGCAGCTATCTCGTTGCGCGAGAATTTTCGCTTTCTAACACGACATCTGCAATTGTTCACGTATAAATTCGTCGTCGTGTGATAAGAATGATGATTTCGAGATTACCTCGGCTCGGTTTGGCAATCGCGGCTGTGTTCGACTAGCTGGAACTTACGAGAAGTTACGTATCGCGAGACACACAGGTGTGGCACTCACCTTGTCGGAGGACGAAGGTATTCTGCGGCGAAGTGTCCGTTAGTGGGTTTCACGATTCGCTTACGGAAGCCTCGGAAAATCTGTATAATCTAATTTAGCGGTGATTTCCATGCCGATATTTTCAGTCATTAGTGCGCCTACTCGCGTTCGCTAACGAGCACGCCGTTGAACTTAATCCACCAAGCGAATGCGAATGTCTCTGATGACCGACTTATATGTATGTTAAACTAAAAGAGGTAATTATTGAATTAAATAGACGTTTATAGAGGGCATTGTTCTGTTCTCGTACGTGATGTGATATTACCTGATAGCACAATGCCATTCTATTTCTTTTCTTGTTTCATTTCCTTTGAAAAGGTCTCCTACAAGTGTAAAGCCGATTTTTTTCTTAACAAGACAAAATAAAAAAAGACAAAATGCGCTTTAAAAAAAAGCGCTTATTTATCGTTAAAGCGATATTTCTCGTATTGGAGTAATTTTTATATGATTCTTTTCTTCCTTGAGAAAATGAAGTTAAGAAAAAATTTTGATTTATCTTCCTCGTGAGATTTATATTTCTAACTCTTTTTTATTTTACCATACTTATAGCTTATTATTAGGTTAAAAATTAAACATATTAAAGAGAACAAAATATGAAATATATACTATACTTCCTACATTATAATGTGTGTCAACTGCTAAATAATAAAAAGAATAATTGAAGCTTAAATAATTAATTGCAAGAAATATTGACCTTTTATGATAAAATTTGTTGCGACTTACAAATGAAAAGTTTCCTGACTTATTATGGAATCGTATATTACGACATCAATTTGTCAATAGAAACGGTGGCGGCTCGTAGCGGAGATTTAGGAACTGCGCTTTGCAATAATAGCCGACTCACTTGGCCAGCTAAAATGAAATAAGTAATCAGCGCCATCTAACGCTATATTTTGGCTGCGTTCCGATATTCACCAGTATTAAAAATGTATAGTTTGTGTCACATATACTATAGATTTTCAGTGCTGGCAGTGAATATCGGAACGCAACCATAAAGCCCTAAACACAATGCCAGGCAACAGGCAATAAGAATAAAAATAGACCAATCACAATCGACTATTACAAGAATAATCTATTGTGATTGGTCTATTTTTATTCTTATTGCCTGTTGCCTGACATTGTGATTAGGGCTTAATATGTTGCCAGAGAGAAACCTGAAAGCGGCCACCGAACCGAGTACGCCGGAACGTTTTTTCCGCCGAATTCCGACGCGCCCCCTGAGAAAATATGTGCACACTACATCTGTCCTGACGGTAACGGCAAAGCATGAACGGTTCTTGCTCACTTCCCCTTACAAGAGACAGTAAGTTAGACAAGCACAGACGATAAATCGCTCTCCGTCTTTGTCGCACCACCGATGAGCGTACGCGCGGCAGCAGGAAGCACGAGGCGAGTTAGCGGCAGTTCTTATTGCTAAGCCAAAATCTCTTCCGTCTTGCCTCTTCGCCTTCTCATCTTTCACGCAACGCACTGCCCGCAATTCGGGAAGAAATGTTTCGAGATCGCGCGGAAAACTTCTAGCACTGACACAAAATGACGCTAATAGAGGTGGCCATTTTTATAATTTCTATATTCAATTTTTTTATTTTTTTTTATTCAATTTTTCTCATTTTTTCTGAAATCAATGCGAAAATGAAGGGTCACCGGCCATAAATTAATTATTTGTGATAATTATTTATGATAAGACGTTAATCTAGATTCGAAATAAGGATGATTCGACCAAGCCGTATCGAGTTGTGATCGCGCGTTTTGAAGTTAAAAGTCACGAAAATTTGAAAAGTGACAGGCCCAGAAATGACGAGTCATCAAATATTAATTAACGAAATATGAGTGATAAGGTTTAATCTAGACCCAAAATAACTAAGATCTTCATAAATTGTAACGACGTGCGCCTACGCACGTAAAATTGAAACCGATAAGTCGAGATCGACCGATGCGAAAATGACGAGTCACCGGGTATAAGTTGCAAAATTATTTGCGATAAGATATTAATCTAGGTTCAAAATAAGGATGATCCGAGTCAACCGTGTCGAAATGCGATTACGCGTTTCGGAATTACAGGCCACGAAAGATGGAAAAATGACTTTTTCCTCATCAGATCTCTTGAAAGCTTTATGTCTCATTTAAATTTTCAATGTTGGAACAAAAATATAAAGATAAAAATCTCATATCAAAATATTTCCGTATTTTCGATTCGTCTCGGTCAAAGATATTCTCTCTCTACCGCAGATTATCAACTGGGAAAACTACTTTTCTGTTTCAGTTGTTGCGACTATGCAGACAGATAAAATATCGTTTGAGTCAATGCGAATTGCAAATCGATTTTGCATGTGAGTGTTTGTGATGTTGAATAAAATACATTGCTCGAAACAATCAGGGGATTACTACATCGGTAGCCTGCGTTATATACGAGATTTAAAACACCGAATGATTCTCTTTTGATATTCAGTCATCTGAATAAGAAATGTTCATATTTACAAACGATACGGTCATCAGCTGCTTTATTTTCATTTTTCAAGCAGGCCGCAGAATTATTTAACGACAATTATTTGACAATATTCATTTGTCCGTGTAAAGTAAGAAATGCTCATATCAATTATCAATGATATATGGCCTTTCATTACATTCTCTAAGTTTCAATTGTTAATTGAACAATTCCTTTCGCAAGTCAAAGATTAACATGCTGATTTGAAACATAATGCAAAAAGCTCGAAAATAAATACGAAGCAGAAAAGAGATTAACAATGAATGATTATTATTTAATATGCAACTTACATTAACATGGAATGTCTAATTGACTTAATGTCTCGAAGCTACTGAATATGAATTTATGCTCAAATCTCTTCCTTTCTGTAGGAGGTTTTTGGCTGTTTCGGTTACTTTCCTCTACATTTATATTGATGAGTTGAAGCACTTGTTTCTACGAGATGTTTAAAACTCGGCTGACTTTACGAGTGTTAACACTCGTAACTGGACCTAAGTAAGACTTACGTTTAAGCGAATGTTCTCTTGAAACTGAAAACATTAATAATAATAATAATGATAATTATATTTCTATTTATCTTTTTTTCTATACTATCTAACTATCTATCTATCTATTTCTCTATATCTATCTATCCATCTATCTATTTATCTATCTATCCATCTATCTGTCTATCTATTTATCCATCTATATCTATCTCTATATCTATCTGTCTATCTATTTATCCATCTATCTTTTTTCTTCCTATGTATCATTGCAACCTATCCTGTTCTATCCATATTTCTTGCAAATGCAAACAATTAATATTACATTAATTTTTATATTAAAATATATTTTTTATACTATAACATGCTGAATTAATAATTAATACAACAATAATAAAATTCAACAGGTTATACTATAAAAACAAACACTTACGTAAAAAGATTATGATATTATTAAAAAGTTTGCATTTATTTTTTGACGGAGATCACCATTTTCTCGCGGTTTCCGTTGAGCAACAATATGCACGTTATCTATTCGTAAAATTAAATAATAAAGTCATAATTGAAATATGATAATAAAACTAATTTCTTCTTTTACTAGACTAAATTTATTTTTGCTACGAAAAGAAAAATGTAACAATGGAATATCTTTTACAAAACAAATAACATTTCATTTAATTTTTAATTTAAATTTATTAGCATAAATAAATTATTCTGTCATATACTTTAATAACAAATCATTTTTAAAAGATATATATATTGGCTAAGAGTGGATTTCTATTAACTTTTCGTCTCTCATTATAATTCTCTCTTCTTTATTTGTGCATTAATACTAAATATTCTTTATATACATATACACTATATATGTGTCATTTATTTATATATATACACATATATATATATTCTCATGTAATTAATATATTTAATCAAGCCGTAAGAACACGAGAAGAGAGGAAGAGCGAGCAAGTGCGCGAGAGAGAGAAAGAACGAGAGAAAGAACGAGAGAGAGAGACAAAGAGCGAGGTATAGGAGTAGCGAGAAAAATCTCGCGGCTCACGCAGTCAATAAGTTAGACGAGCGGGAAAGAAACAGATAATATGTCGACGCTCGTCTAGTCTCCAATGTGCTACCTCGCGTGCGTGAAAAATAATTCCTCGCTTCGCACGTTCCCTTGACACGAGACGCTACCGCGTCTTTTGATGTCTCTGGAGCGTGAAAGATGAAAGAAAAGCGGAGAGATGTTCGCTTAGCGATAAGATCGCCGCTACCTCGCCTCGTGTTTACTGCCGCACGCCGCTCAGTAGTGAGACAAAGACGGAACGATTGTCTGTCGTCTGTCTTTTTCTAATCTACTATCCATTGCATGGAAGTACGGACACGAACCTAGGCACATTTTACTTTTATCACCGTGAAAGTGCGCCTAGCGGACGTAGTTTAGGTGCATTTTGGTCAGATGGCGTATCTAAAATGCGCCTAGCCGTATCCCCCGAAATACGGCCGGTGGCCGCTCTCATTCCTCTCTCTGCTAAAATCATGAGTCTTGTTCGCTTCCGTGGTGGTTGACTTGGATGTGGTCTTGTAGCTACGCATATTTTTGGATCACGGGAACTGCGTACTTGTTGTCTCTGTTTTTCTTTCTACTTCATATTACTGGGAAATAGCGTATGGACATTGCTGAATGCAATTCGGAGCCATATAACGAATAACGAATAACGAAAATAACGAATGCTACAATCAAAGTCGTAATACAACACAATAACTATTTAGACGAGTTTGATCTCCTAGTAGTACAACTCAACGGCAAAGCAGAGCAATTTTTTATTTGACGATCAGCTGTGCGATTGTGTAGGACGAATGAGGGACAAGAAAGTATTTTTCTTGTCTTTTACTTAAACTGACTGATAACGTGGTTAAACTGTAAAATTACGGAATAAGGAAATAAGTAAGTAAATAACAACTTTGGATCTTTTGAAGATCGTGTTTTCATTCATCGTGGAGAGAAAGAGAGTCGGCCCTAATTTTTAACCACACTATTTCTTTCCTTAGATTTCAGAAGTATAGTTATCACTGTCTTTGCTTAGTGAAGTAAATGAAAAGATGAACAAGTACGTAAATTTAGCGAAAGTGAACTCGAATTACGCAATGCGTATGAACCGACTGAGTAATCGAATCTTTGGTGAAGTAGTCAGGCCTACTAATCAGAAATCAATGAAGGTGGTGAAGCTCTTTGCAGAAAAACCAGTGAATAAGCGATCGGAGGTTGTGAATTATTATCCAAGAACCAAAGAGACAGAGACAATGATGGACCATCTGCGTAATTATGGTCTTTATAGGAATGAACATAAGGACTTCAATGAAGAATATAATCGCTTAAGACTTCTTCGTGGGAAATCGAAATGGATACCACCTCCTTTCAGAAACAAACAAGAAACGAAAACATAAATTTCTTAGATTCATGTGTCAATTCTGTTTCATGTATTTCATATGCAAACAATAAATCAGAATTAAGTATAACATCATTTGTCTCAAAAGAGAAATATGACATTGCAAAAATTCAAATATCTAGTTGGAAAAATATATAATCTTATCATATAGGTTGAAGTATGTTAGCACATGTTAATACAATTTCAATAGTACTCATATTTTTTCCTTTATATATTTCAACATAGAGTGACATAATAGCATTTAAACTTATCTCCATGTTATATAGGTATAATATTTGTATTAGTTTTCTAGGAAATATAAAAAGAAGTTTATTATAATATTTCTATTGTACAATATATATGGCACATGTATACTTGCATATATGGGCAATACTATACTAATATTTACAGATTACCTTTGTATATATGTACAGTATGTTTTACATGATGTTTCATTCTATGATGTTTCTACTCAATGAGAAGGATCACATATTTTGTTTAATCCAGTAATAAAAGGTATATCCATGTCATTTTGTTCTTTGAGGCAGTTTATTCTGTTTATTCTAATTCTTTCTCATATTCTCATTTTATAATTCTTGCTTTACACTTTTGTCTTTTGTATTTTCTGTGTCACTTGATACCTTTTTTGTTTCTTTCTTTTTTTCATCTTTACTGCCAGTCTTCTCATACAGACAAGAATCATTTTGCTCTTTCAATACACGGTCGGTGCATAGATATCTGAACAGGGAACAATAAATATTGATATTAGTCTCATAAATTTTATGTAAATGTGATATTCTTTTAGAGTGAATATTGATTTCAAACAAAGTAGTACCTTGTTAAAGGAATATTTCCCTGATGAGTATGATACCATTCTTCAATGTCAGCTTCGTAAGACTCCAACATATCTTCACATTGTGTTTTTAGAGTAGTAATTTCTACAGAAGGTTTGTCCCAAAGTTCGTAAGGAATACCCAATTCGACTTTTATACCTTTGTCCCTGTAACCATATAAAACCATTAATAAATATAATATTATAACATTGTTTTAAAGTATACAATTACAATGTTTTAAAGTATATCTTACACAAGGTTATGGAGTGTTTTAAATGTCTGACTTGTCCCTCTTGCAAATCTTGTACTATCTGTACGTTCTTTGTGTATATTATACTCCAATATACGTTCACAAACATTTTCCATACTCTCTAGCAATCGCAGTTCTCTACAAGCAAGAGCCTTTTGTAAGCTTTAATGGAATAATTGCAAGCATTGCTTTAATTTAGAATGATACTTACGACTTCTTATAATCCTTTTTCTTTTTTGGTATAATGTCATCTACAGAATACCCAATTTCCAATACATCGTGAGTCTTTCCTGTTTCGTCTAATCTAGCTTCAAGTTCTACAGCTAAGACCTTGCACACTGTATGAAAAGGATTTGCCGTCAATTCCAATAGATACAATCTTCGTATGTGTTAATGTTTATTATAAATTAAAAACAAGAAAAATTTTTCTCTCTTCTTCTCTTGAAACTTCATCCTACTTTTAACAGATAAACTACAAAATATGTTCTCTAAATTAAAACCAGCTTTGAAACTATCATCTCCTTTTAAAATAAAATATTTTTGTTCTTTAAAAAGCAAAAATTACCTTCACACTTATTAGCGTACTTTACTCCTTGCTCCTCTTCAGGCCCGCCAAAGACAGACCATGCAAATAACAAATTTAATAAAAGCGCACAATTGACAAGCAACATTGTAGCTTATATGAAATCAAAATGGAATGTTAACAAATATATCGCAGTAGTATTAAAACGTCACTGAATCGTACGGGTGCGATGCAACACGACAGCCGGCAACATGTACACAATCATAACAAACCCATTTCCACCGGGTTTCATGACATCATGTGGAATTCGGCAATTGGCCAACGAATAGGGAACTTATAGTGGTTTTCAAAGGATATCATGGATCTCCCTAGAAATTCTTTATCGCGAACTTTAAATTCATTCGTTTTTATATAACTCGATGACAAACATTAATCTTTTATCATCTCCCCGCTTATCATCTCAGTCATATAATCAGAACTACATTCAAACGAACTTTATCCATTATTGTTACGTTCATTTTATAATAATGCACTTTTTTCTTCAAAATTATTTCTGAAAACGGAAATGTAAATATAAACATCTCCAAAAGAGTTGCATTTTCTTTTGTTATTGATTTTATATATATATATATATGATCTTATGGAATTATATACTTTTGTAAATAAACGATGAATGCTTTTCAAAGTAATCTCCAATCTGCAAAATAAGTAATTTGAAAAATTAGTCATTACAAATGCGGTAAATTATTGTACACAATTTTATGGCGTTATACAAATAACGAATGATGATAAAGCTCTAAAAATTGATTTCTTAAAATTCTGACCTGTATTGATCAACTTATCCAACGATATCTTGCATATATTTAGAAAAAAGAAAAAGAAAAGTATCACTTCACTTCTTTCACATTCGCCGAGGAATTGATCAGGAAATGTGTGTGATGACTCAACTCTGGGGCATCCTCTACTACTGACGCAGGACACAAGAACGTTATGCGTAATAGTTCGCGCAAATTTCTAATGCGCACTTTCTTTAATTTATTGACAAAAAACAGGAAAGAAATCCTATGACTCTTCCTTTGTACTGAACAGTTGTACAGAACAATCTTTTGATCTCGATTAGCAAGACAGGAAAACAATATGTCTGCATTAACGCTGGGCGTTTTCCGGGATTACTCTACGAATGCTAATTGATAACGTAATCAGATTTGGTGTTTCTCGTGCGTCCTCACTTGCGGGAAACATATTGTATAAGATTCGATATAATATGCCTATTGTTTACGAGTTTAAAACGCATATCAATTAAAATTATAATTCAGCTAGCGCTATGTGTGTGTCGCGCAAATGCTCTGTAAATAATGTTACATCCTTCTGACCTCTAATTCCTGTTTCCTCGAAAATCAGACGAGATTGGGTATTGAACACTTATTTGAACTTTGTTCGTGGATTACAACAATTTGTACCCTTGCAACGTCTAATTTGATTAACTGAACATGATCCACGTTCCCGTTGTCTCTCTACGGCATCACGAGTTTCATAACTTAATCATAACGGACTATTCGCAATATAGCCCCATATAATGTAAATTGAGAAATGCGTCAATAAGCTGTCGGGAGAAATCGGAATAATCGTCTTTGTGTAGCCAGCTGCTTATAAAGAATTACATTACATCGTCAATATGTTCTTACGCTAGACATGCATTTTGCTGTCTTCAACAATCTCATACCTGTAACAGCGACGATCCGTGAAGGCTCTCTCGCTTCCGTGAAAATCATTCGAATCAATTTCAACGTACAATCGTCATTCGATTTTCGCCAAAATAAATTTCTATCGAGCAAGGTCCGTTATTGTTGCAGCGAAACATTGGTCGTGCTTGGCCAATTTCACTGGGCCTTATCGCATAATTATAAGAAGTGTTACATTATGAGATTGTTGTTGATCAATGATCCCTATCACCATTTTGTACGATAAGGCTACTCCTCTGTTGACTTAAACATATACAACGGATGTCGGTTAAATGGCATATCTTTGCAGCAAGACGAAAGAACGAGATGTCAAATGTCGCGTTTAAATAATTTATAATTTCAAATATTTTCATATATTAAAATAATTTATAATTTCAAATATTTTCATATATAATATATTGCTTTTCTCGAGCAAGCGCGTCGACGCACTTGGCATAATAATAAATCGTTGATAACATAATAAATGCGTCAAATGAATTCGGTATTACTCGAATTATTCGCAGGGTCTCGCACTGCAAGTGCGGGTGTTATTCTGACTTTCATATCTTTGCGAGAGAATACAGATTGTAACTGTTTATCACGATTTAGTATTTGAATGTTTCCTGGTTAACACTCAGTCTTATGGAACAGAACGTGATATCCATACACTTAATAAAAGCAGTCTACTCTTACGAGAAATCAGTGTCTTATATTACATTCCTTGCAATAGGTGCAAAAGCAACCTTTCGCTTAATTAAATTAAGACTATCAACTGAAAGCTTATACATTTTTTTCGATTTCATTCACTGAAGGAGAATGGAAACTGCTCATCGAAAACACATATTTTCCTGGCGAATGTCCGAGGGGAGAGAGAATTTGCCTTTCTTTCTTTTCGTGTGAGAAAACGTTGTCCTCAATTTACGTGCGTGGCAAATGCAAAGTAGCAGCCCTTTCTTTTTCCCGAAAATTCCTATAGACACTTAAGTCTAAAGCGATTGAAATTCGTATCGTGTAAACACAATAAAATACACATAGTGTAGCGTTCACGAGGAAATTCCTATAAAATAACGATAAAGTTTCGAAGAAGTGTGTAAATATATTAAAGTAAACGGCAGTAACTCGAGCGGGTTGTCGCAACTTTCCTTCGCCGTATGCATGGAACCCGTACACGTCTCGATCGAACGAACAAGCTATCTCGGAGTCGGTGGTGAATTGAAAAGTAAGAACAAGAGAGAAGGTAAAACGTAGTAAAACGCCGGACTCGGCTCTCGCGGAATTTTCGAAAGGCAAAGTCTTACAAAATGCATACACATTAATTATATAATACTCATTGATCGACGGTAGCGTTTTCTAGTATTAGTTATAACAACAGGAACCGATACGGGGGCAGGAGGGGTTACAGGAGTAACTGGCGTTACCGGTGTGAGAGGAGTTAGAGGAGTTTCAGCCGTTTGGGCTGAAGAGGGGGGCCTGAGCTACCAAATGTAGTTCTCGGTTTGTGGAGCTCGCATCACTCCCACACCTCCGCCGAGTCTCCTATAATTCATACAGCCGCACAGCTTCCATTGGTTCTGCTCCGGATCGTATACCTCGATTGTTTTCAGATACGCTGTCCCGTCGAAGCCACCTACCGCGTACAATTGACCGTTTACTACCGCTAGACCCACCTGAAATTCACCACGACAAATACGACAAGTTTATCCGGAGTTTCTCCTTCGTGCGCGACTATGCGAAAAAAAATGCGACAAAATCAGGATCCGCAAGATCTTATGTTCATCTCCTAAGGAAAAGCATCCGATCCTCCCCCTATATGCAGCCTCCTTTTGAAAGCAATCTCAATAGAAACATACAGTAGAGCTTACCCCGCTTCTCCTAGATGTCATCGCTACAATAGGACTCCAGGAATTCGTATGGGGATTGTAACGTTCCGCACTGGAGAGCTCCATGCAATCGTCTCGTCCTCCCACAGCATAAATTAGATTATTAAATACAGCACAGCCTAGATGTTTACGTCTCGTAGACATCGGGGACACTTGGGTCCACTTGTTTTGCCTTGGATCGTATCTCTCTACCGTATTAAGGGGTGCCTGCCCATCAGACCCGCCGATGGCATATAAATAACCTCCGAGCACAGCAACGGCTACTCCCAATCTTCTGGTTGTCATTGGCGACACTTTAGACCATTTATTTTCTTTAGGGTCATACCTGCGAAATGAAGAATATTCGTTGTGACGATCATGAATGACCGTGACAAGAACAGGTCAATTTTGGCGAATCAACTCGAAGAACTCAAGTGCACTTGCCTCTCCACATGATTAAGGCATTGGACTCCGTCTTGGCCACCGACCGCGTATAGAAATCCGTCCAACACGGCGACACCGACGCTGGTTCGGCAAGAAGTAGTCGGGGCTACGTCGCAAGACCACTGGTTCGTTTGCGGATCGTATCGCTCGATGCTGTTCAAGTAACTCTGGCCGTCGTGACCGCCGACTGCGTACAACAGGTCGTTCAACACCGCTACGCCCACTCCGCATCTTCGTTTGCTCATCGGCGCCACCATCTTCCAGTCGGCGGTGTTAGGATCGAATCGCTCGACGCTAGCAATAGCATCGCCCGAACACCAACCACCCACGGCGAACAACACCTCTCCTCGTCTCGTGGGTTTCCTGGGTCTTGTTCTGGGTCCCTGCATCAACGGTCTCTCTTGCGGCAAGAGCAGGTAATTCTTCGCTTCATCCACTAGGTCTCTACAGGCGTCGTCGGATCGAACCAGCAGATCGGAGCCGACGGTGCCGACCAAGAATTTCGGGCTGAGCAACGGCAGTCTCACATGTTGCAGAACTTGGGCCAGATGCTGCCGTCTTTCGGTAACGTTGTACTTGACCCAATTCATCACGGCGCTAAACACCTGCTCCTCTGTACGCACGTTTAATTCATCCGACGAAATGATGTCTACCAATTGGCCGACAGGTAGTAACAGAAATTCCTCGCTCTCCATCACCTACCGAGCGAGAGCATAAAGTGAGATATTGAGTATCGCGCGATCGGGGTGTGTAATATGTGTGTCTGTCGTCTCCAAAATGCAATATGTATAAGTGCGGTCTGTTCTCGCGTGCGCGCACCTCTTGAAAATTATGCTGAGTGAACTTATCGGCAATACGCAGAAGTTCGCGGCACGAATGCGTGTCCGCGAACGCCCGGATACCCAAGCAATTCGATGGATCTAACTGGCGTTTGAGAAATTCGCAACATATATCCTGAATTTCCGCTAATTGAAGAAGGCACGCTGCTGGAAGGAGAGTTTGAACATTCGCTTCTTCGACGATAATGTGAGAAGTGTAGCAGAAGTCTATGAGTAGTTCCATCGCCATCTCGTCTATGTCGCGTATTGTTACTTCAGTTTGTCTAGATTCCGCCAGCTCCCCAGTAAACATTGCCCTGTGGTAAAAAAGTTCCCCTGGTCATTTTAAAATCTAGGCCAGTTTTTCTCTCTGCCTTTTTTTTCTCAAAAAGAAACAAATCAGAAACGAAATTACATGTAGTTTGGTCTGTGAAGCAATATTGATAACACATACGCATTATTTGCTCATATCCTTGCCTGAAGTATGGACTACATGCTGAGAGGATGACACGATGTGCGAATATCTTTCTGGTGCCAACATTGAGAACAACATCGCACAGTTCTCGATGACGGCGAAGACCATTGAGCTCTGTTAATGTTGCGCGTGGATGCTTTTCGGAGGTATGACTGAGGCGTGCTGGGGAGGGAGCGCGTTCTACGACTATCTCACCCATCCTCTGCGAGGATGGGGCACCCGCAGCCGCTCTCCCCGAGGCACCCCTGGTCCCCCCGGCTAGCTGGAGGCGCAGCGGGGGTGACGCCCAGCCCCACACGGAATCTATCTGCAACACCATTCACCAACCACCGCAGGTCTCAAATGTGCCTGCAGCAGGCCCCTTAATGTTGTGCTTTTCCTATAGTGACAAGATGATATGTGTATGTGACGTCATGTAAGTATACTGTAGAATAAATAAGTATAATTATTAAGTAAAGAATAATATACTTAAATAAAGGTATTTCTGAGCGAGAATATAAATGCTCCTCCATTACCTGTTAGTTTTGCATAGTTTGTATAGAATTTAATTAAAATATAAGATAAATATATACAGTGCTGCAAGTATTGCCGCACAATATGCATCTGCTCTATGCTGCTATATATCTCTCTGTATCTCTCTCTCTCTCTTTCCTTTTTTCGAAATTGCATAGAATTGCATAGAAAAGAATGAAGCTACTTTAACGGGTTACAACAAATCGTTTTGCAAGAAATATTTCACTCTCCGACGAGCAAGTGAAAGTGCTATCTTTGCAGCACTGAGAGCTCTAATGAGTAATTCGTGACGTACGAGATTCTCTTGTAAACATATTACAGTCGTAATTGATACAAGTCGAAGATCAAAGTGGCACATAAACAAAGTTTCTCGCTTGACATCTCGCGATGGCTTTTGCTTTCTCCTGGCTTTTTGCTCCGAACTAGGAAAGACCGAAGAACGCGGCAGCGGAGCGCGGTGCACGCGACTCCGAGGGACTAGGCGTTTCGATCACGATTGCGAAACGTAGGAATGACAAGTCATGGAGAATGCGTGTACACACTTTCGTTGCTTTCCTGGACCGCCAGGCGATATCAACAGGGGAGAGCTGCCGCGATTCGGCTGGTCTCGGGCAGTTTCCCGTCAGCGTGTGTGCCTGTCGCGAGACATCGGACGTTGCCGCACGACACCGCCACCGTTACCGTCGCCGTCGCCGTCGCCGTCGCCGTCGCCGTTCTCGTCGTCGTCGTCGTTGTTATCGTTGTTATTGTTGTCGACTTGTACTTGCACTGCACCGCGAGAGTTATCACGAGGGTGCTCTCATTTTGACGTTTACTACCCGTCCTGCACGGTAACCCGCGTATCCTGGCCGCTCATGAACTCGACTGAACTATAGACGAGATAATATTGAAGATTATCAGCCTCGGGTAAATTTTCGTATTGCTAAGGGGGGCCCGGAGGGAGCTGGAGGTAATTCAAGAGACATGACAATACCGACTACTTCAGCTACACTATCGACGAAACGCTAATAAAGACCGTAAAGGCCAGAGCACAGACTTCTGCATAACGCATAATACACACGCACAAGAGAATCAACCAATCAGAGTTCTTCATTTCTGTCCTGAGGAGGGAAATGAAGAAAACTAATTAGTTTATTCTCTTATGTGTTATATATTATGTGTTATGAACACCAGAGAAATAAGCATAAGTAGCAACAGATATGAGGAATAATGAGAAAAAGATATCGGAAAGCAGAGAGAAACCTGAAAGCGGCCAATACGGCATTTTCTGCAACACCGACTTTTCGCACTGGGAAAGGATGCCATCTGCATCCATTTTGAGAGGAGAATTACGATGCTACTACATTCACTTCCAAGCGGTTTATGTCCGTGCTGCAACCATAGTTACCATCTTTATGCCAGACTATGCCCGAAGGTCTAAAAAGAACGGCGAAGGGGGGGGGGGAAGGGGAGAGGCAGGAAAAATGAAAGTACGTATTAAATATTAAATCTTCGAATACATATTGCCGTATCAAAGCCTCCTGTTAATAAACGATTTGACACGTCTGGAGACGCATGATGTATCGTTGCCCACATCCCATTTCCTTCGTCCTGCTTCTCAATTCAGCATCCTGTCCTTTCTGGACTCTGGGCATTCGCTCGTGGCACTGACAGTGGCCGTCGGTGAGCATTCGATCCGCTCGGAGGAGCACGTGTTAATTAACGCGACGAGACTCCGATTATAAATATCCCGCGAGTCGACGAAATATCTGAACTTTTAAAAAAAGCATCAAAGAAAATCACGTTGATGTTGTCATCGGTGAAATCTCACCCTGGTATATATTTTTCTATTTGCGAAATAAAAGAAGCCAAATGAATGCAATTAAATGTTATTTATCATCATTGAATATTAGATGAAAAGTAGAAGAGTTATTGTCCGGAGCGGATAATCTAACATTTAATAAGAACGAGACAAAATTCGCATGGGATGAAATTCCACTCTTTAACGCTACCATGACCTTTAATTATTCTCCGAAAACGGCGTCACAACTTTGACACTCTGTACAATTAGTTGATAACACATTTTCTAATCGTACACATTCCTCTTTAATTAACATAAAGCTAACAAATAATAAATAAACAAATATAAATGTCCGATGCTTCGACAGAGTAATTTTCTTTATTTTCAGTAATCAATAAATAGTAAATCAATGTCGCGTATAGTTGAAAGGCCTCCTCGCATTCCTCTCGTCGTTCCGGAACTTTCGAGAAAAGAAGAGAAGCCCAAGGGCAAGTGCTCTTTTGCTTCAACCGCCGCCGAAGCCCGCAATGTTTACATCGCGCCGATTGTGTTGATCGGCTCGCGAGCGACGATACATTTTGCCCTTCGTATTAATAGTCGCGCACCTCGCGTACTCAACCTCATTCCATCAGCAGCATTCGTGCGCGACACGTTCGTCATTTCCGTCTCGTGTAATTGAAAGAAATGTATCTCATTGGTCCTCGAGATACTGAATCGGCATCGCGTCGGCATCGCGTTGATTAACCGCACGGTCGAATCGCGAGTATCGGCGTTAGAGCGAGTGAAATCCGAAGGACTCCAGCAGCCGGGAAGCAGGACGTCGGCAGCGATACGTCATGTTTTCAGGTATGTGGAATCATTTATTATGCGGGAGGTCTCCGATAACGAGAGTGGACATTTAACGAATTTTCCGGGAATAAGAAGTCGAAATTTCGCGCTCGGCATTCACGATCCGTCGTCATCCGACTAGTAATTATGACTTTATGAATCTGCAATTACTCTCGTCAATCTCTGTCTGTCTATCTATTTATTGCGTTGTTGTATACAAAAGATATTGATTCAGACAGAGACGGATAACGGTCCATGAACGCGGATCTCTAATTCATCATGTTCTCAATCAAACATTCTGAATAATTCCCAACTGTATGAGTATACCGGTCTTGTGTAGAATATTCAACATCATACCGCTTCTTAGACTGCGACCTTTTTTGTTTTCGGTCAGCGCTTCTTTCCAGTCTGTTTACTCTCGTTACGAGATCTAAATTTAAATGTCCATTCGTAAAAGAGTATTTTCAAGAGCACACAACTGTTGTCTCCGCTTCTTGTTGTCATTTTTTTTCGTCAGCTCTTTCAAGTGCTCCAAGTCCTATCTAGACTTTCAATGTCAATGAAGAAAAAACCGTAGCGAATATTCTCCACTCATTTCAACCAAACATTCTTTCTCTACCGCAGCTTACCAACCAAGAACGCTAAATTTTTGTTCCAGACGTTGCGGGAAGCAAGTCCGGCGGACGCGGATGCCGCACTGGAGGATCCGGTTCGGGCAGAGCAGGATCGGCCGGAACGGTAAGGTTTACAAGTTTCCTACACATCTGTGTTCAACTCTTTACAGTCTTTGCCTTTGCAACTTGTTTCTCATCAGCTCTCTTGAAAGCTTCAAGTCTCATTTAAATATTCAATGTTGGAACAAAAATATAAAGATAGAAATTCCACATCAAAATATTTACATATTTTCGATTCGTCCCGATCAAAAATACTCTCTCTCTCTACCGCAGATTATCAACTGGGAAAACTATTTTTCTGTTTCAGTTGTTGCGGAAAGTAATCCAGCGGACGCGGATGCCGTACCGGAGGATCCGATTCGAGCCAAGCAGAGTCGGCTTGAAGGTAAGTTTACAAGTTTACTATAGTCCTCTGTTTGACCCTTGGTGATCTAGAGCTGGAATATAATTTCCGGCTCGACTTAAATTACAATCGCAGATGGTAAACTACTCTTTTACTCGCCCGCACTCGTTGGTCAAATCTGATGAGCAAATGTGAATTTTTTGTTACAGAGTTGAAGCGGAACGTGGCCGGCTCTGACTGCAAGTCGTTTCGGTGAGTAAATACAAAATGAAAAGAGAAACAAAAAATTCTGCATGACGGATGTAGGACTAGATAAAATATCGTTCGAGTCAATGCGAATTGCAAATAGATTCTTGCATGCTGGGATTTTACATTAGTGTGTTTGTGACATTGGATAAAATACATTGCTCGAAACAATCAGGGGATTACTTCATCGATAGCCTGCATTACATACGAGATTTAAAATACCGAATGACTCTCTTTTGATGTTCAGTCATCTGAATAAGAGATATTCATATCCACAAACGCGATACCGTCATCAGCTGTTTTATTTTCATTTTTCAAGCGGGCCGCAGAATTATTTAACGACAATTATTTGACAATATTCAATTGTCCGTGTAAAATATATTCATACGCATAAATGCCGATAGCGTTGGTTACTTTTCTTTTATTTGCAAAACAGGCTGTAGAATTATTTGGTAATATTGTCCATTCATCACGATCCCTATTGTCTCGAGTAGCGTACAATGCGCGCAGAAATTGCGCCAGCGCACGCCAGGCACGCGAGCTTGAGGTATCCTCGCTCGCGTGCCTTTGAATATTGCGACCGCGGTTATCAATATACGCGTTTTTACCCGCGCTGCTAACAAAGAAAGCTTAAATTCTCATTTCGCCAAAGTATCGCGAACGTAAGCTTCGTCGTGACGGAACTATCATGCGTGAAAACTTTATCCCGCTCTCTCTCTCTCTCTCTCTTTGCGCTCCCTCGAAGTGACCGGTTTCTGATTGTCTAATCTTTCCTCGCATGCATTCGCGAATATTCTCGTAGATATCGATACTCCCGCAGTTTCGCGATTTTTCAGGCGCGATCGCGAAAAGTGCCGTAAAAATCCGTTGGATGAGTCAATAAATTTTCACACGGTTCTTGCTCCTCGCTGATCCAGTTTATAGAGTCCGTTTTGCAAGGCGTAAAAACTTTCCATCGATGTCGACGTAAAACATTTGTTAATTGACACAAATATCGCCGCTCTCATATAAGTATTGACCGCGTCGCGGAAGTGTGGCGAAAGTGTAGCAATCAACGTGGGACGCGCTGCAAGATGGATGCTGCGCGACATGGAGAGCGGCAGCGGACATGAGCAGACATTGGTGGATCTGGTTGGATGCAACGGGATATCATCAATATCATCATCGGTGAGCGTTTGACTCAATGCTCGCAGAGAGCTCTTTTATTATTACATTGTGCATGCCGCAAATTTGCATTGACTTTTGTAACGAAAAATATATTCCATGAATTATTGCCATATATTATGGCCATATATTGTTGCCATATATTGTTACCATATATTGTTGCCGTATATTGTTGCTATATATTATTGCCACATATTGCCATGTATTATCGCCATATATTATGGCCACTTGAAATCGCGCGAACAATCGAGAAAACTGAATTTGCCGATAATCGCAAAGCCGTAGACGTCACGGACGGATGACAGCAGCCCGTCTCAGGGCTGCCCGATAACAATGCTGTTGCTGTAATTTAACTTTAAACCACAGCGGCCTCCGGTCGCAGGAAACTTTCTATCGCGGACTAACCCCTCGAATAGAATGTTCCCGAGAAGCGCTCTTGACATAAACGCTGGTTATAAGCGAACTTGCCTCGTTAGGGCCTCGTCGCGGTATCGTTGTCGCGGAAAATAAGGAAGAAAGGAGTTAAACATCCGCACCGCTGTGAGAAGAGGAGCGATGACGTCCCTTCGCGAGTAGAATGTTAGGCCCTTGCGAACGCGAGCGTTAAATTCCACCGCGGCTGCGAACGTCCCTCGACTAGTTTCTTCGCGGAAACTGAATCTTCATAACTCGCGCTTGATCGTACGTTGAGACTCAATCGAGGATGGGAGATTGAAGCGGGAGTTGATGATATAAGCGTGACAAAATAGCCGCACATTTTATGATCGCTCTTTAAAATGGGCGCTTCTTTCGTCGGTGATAAAGACGAGAAGAAATCAGAGCCTGCTGCCGGTGAGAACGTAAACACCGCATGGATTTTCCTTCCGTAGCTGCTCCCGCGGCTGTTTAATCCTCATTACGATTATTTTTGCGGATGAGTATGGGGAAAGTGACATCCGCGGATAACCTTTGTCTTCTGAACGATACGTCTCGTAAAGTTTTCCAGCTCTTACGCAAGTTCGTCGCTCGTGCTTGATAAAAAATGTCCCGAGACGTGCCTACGAAAAATGTTGCACGTGGAGAATACTCAGCGCACGTACCATCTTGAAATGAAATACCGCGAAGGAAACTATTCTCGTTCCTCCAACTTGTGCTTTACAAGTTTCGGGATCCATGAAAATTTCAAGATCAGATACTGCTTGTTTGAGGATGGTTTTTGGACATTCTCTGTGAGAACCTGAAGAACGAGTGCCGATTTTTTTCGAAAGACTCAAGATGCAAAGCCAAATGTGTTATTTATACGCATACGAGCGTGCGATTGGCTGAGGTTCTTTTCGGGGGCGAGTTTTATCGTTTCAAATCTCGCAAGAATCGTGTGAAGAAAGCTTGAGCTAATTACACGCTCACGCGTGTGAAAACAACACACTTGAATTTGCAGCGACGACATAGCGGGGGTATTTAGCTAGTACTACCTTGAAATTTCCGATTAGATTATATTTCTCGTCAGCCGTCGTTCTGTCGCCTAGCCCCGTCTCTTTCGCCCGGGTGCCTTGCCAGGGAAATTTTTCTGGTACGCTAAATCTCGTAAGGCCATCAGTCTTTATAATATCTCGTCGGTGCATGAGGTTTATATTACCTGTATACACATATTTTGAAACATTTTCTTTGGATATTATATCAAACGGATTTTGCATGTCACGTAATATCCTTCGGACTACACGGACATTATTATTTTGATCATTTTGATTTTTTTGATATTTATTAAGAATTATCCAAAACGCAACTGCTATGTTGAACGACTCAATTGTCGTGTGAAATGTTCCGATTTTCACAAATTCATATAAAATTTTTCATTTTTCACCAATTCACAGAAGTCTTTCACTTTTCACTAGTTCAATTCATGATCGCTGCCCTGAGCAGTTGCAACGCTTCTCCAATCATCTATGTCGGCGAGCTCCTACTCCTCAGATTTCTGTCATTAATAACTCGATAATTATTGTGAATCTCGCAAAACGGTATGGGACTTTTATCTCAACCCAATCTACCCTCACACCCTTCGGGTTGGCAGCTAATTACCGGACACTTCGTATGATCTTTATGATATTAATTATACACAATGTCAATTCTTTTTTTTTGCACATGTTAATATGTTAATTCATCCTCCCTTATTTTTTTTATTTTTTTTTTTATTTTTTTAATAAAAAGTGCATGTCAACATTGTGAATGTATTTTTTATCGAAAGGTTGAAGCCTCTTTTCCGCGATGCTGATTGGCCGTCTCGAAGTCGCGTTGCGGCCGGCTTCGTGTTGTTTGCAACTGCCATCGTGTGGAATGCGTGGATAGCTGAGTGACAATTTTTGTATCAGGAGATTTCTTCTAAAAAAAAGGTGCGTGAACCTCGATTTCGAATATATCGAAGCGGGTGAAGAGAGAGAGAAAGAGTGAGAGAGAGAGGGAGAGAGAGAGAGAGAGAGAGAGAGAGAGAGAGAGAGAGAGAGAGAGAGAGAGAGAGAGAGAGAGAGAGAGAGAGAGACAGGGAGAGACAGTGAGTGACAGGGAGAGAGAGAGCGAGAGGGAGGATGAAAGTTAAAGAGAAAGAAAAAGTGAGGGAAAAAGAAAGAGTGAAGGAAAGTGATAGAGTGATGAAGAGAGGGAGAGAGAGGGAGGAGTGAGAAGGAGGGAAGACGGAGTCAGCTTCTATATTCAGGATCGTCTTGAATTTATTTTCAAATGCTTTTTAACCAATAGAACGATGCATATAGCATCTGAAGATGAACTTAAGATGGTCTGGAATAGAAATGTTAAACATCGAAATTCATTTGTCATACGGTTACACGTTACTATGCAGAAAATATGTCATGGAATTTCAAACTGTATGCGCCTAATACATCGTATGTTGGAGTCGGATATTATTAAACTTATATTACACTACAGGGATTATTTTTATGATTTATAATATTTATTCAAAACTTTAATATGAATAAGCTAAAATGACGCGGGCGTAGCGCGCGCTAGTGTTCTAGTGTTATATAAACGCGTAACAATGTGCGGGACCGTGCTTGTCAAGTAGCTATTATGGTTGTAACACGGACATAAACCGCCTGAAAATGAATGTAGCACGGACTGCCACCACATGCAGGTTTTACCGCCGAAACCTGAAAGTGGATGTAGCATTGTAGTTCCTCTCTCAAAATGGATGCAGATGGCGTCCCTTCCTAGTGCGGAAAGTCGGTGTCGTCGAAAACGCCGTGTTGGCCGCTTTTACCGTTCCTCTCTGTCGGAAAGTATCAACATCGACGAAATAATGCTAAAGACTGTCAGCACTTTCTGTTATCATTTATGCTAACTTGAGTTACAGCTTCGTATTCTAGCCACGTTATTTATTTAAGAGAGCGTCAGCGCTCAGCGCGAGATTTCTCTAAGGGCCGATTGTTCCAACTTCTTGGTAAGGAGAATGGCGTATGAGTACACTTTTCTACCTAAAGCTATATATCGAACTGAACTGAACTTCTTGGTAAGTTAATTCATATAGTTATATAGTTAGATAGTTAAATCATATGTTTATCTTTGTCTAAATTGAAGGAAAAACGGAGATAAATATATGATTTAACTATCAATTAACTTACTAAGAAGTTGGAACAATCGGCCCTGAATTCTGTAAGACTAACAGTCTTTATCAGTATCCCCACAAAAACGTACATCGAATCCACGTGGAACACACGTTGTATTTACATGGAATCCACATGGCTTTCACGTGGACACAACGTTCCTGTTTTCGTGGAGATCTCGCCGGTGCTTGTGATTTAAAATGGTAAGTCATACACAATGACGGTCATTCAGCATCTTTATTTTTCAGCAGCACAATTGAATAATAATTTCAATAACTTATTACGACAATAGTATATAGCAAATTTCTGCTATACTGCAAGATAAAATCCATCCGACTTGACATTATAATTACACAAATGTACACTACCATACCGCAGTAAATTACAAAAAGATAATGTCAACAGCTCATTTCACTGTTATTCAAAGAACGATAATTTTATATTTCCCACTTGTCATCCATTGCGGCAAATTATTAATTCGAAAAACCCGCACGAGAAATACAATCATAGGTTTCACATTAAAAATTCATCGATTTCGAGCGAAGTCAACCGAAAAAAACAAACTCACGTTGCTTCTCACAAAAATGGTTACAGTATCGGATCGTCGAAAGAATTACGATCATCAATCCGTGTATCTGTAAAATCGGCGTTTCCTCGTGTAGAAAACGCAAACGCGCCATGACGGCTTCATGACGGTAATTAGTAAAAAACGTACATTACCAAAAATACGCGATTCATTCCCGATAAATAGATCATATATGTATATATGTAACATATATATGTACACGTGTAAAAGTAAGTGCGTCGACATATGTAAAAAGTAGTAAATGTTGAAAATTAAATATTACAATCTACGAATCACGCTCGATTGGTGTTGAGTGGGACCTCAACATAAACGACGACTTTTTCACCGGGCCTCTCTCTCTCTCTCTCTCTCTCTCTCTCTCTCTCTCTCTCTCTCTCTCTCTCTCTCTCTCTCTCTTTCTCTCGCAAGCCCGGCTGCAACATTCGAACATTGAGCGAGTCGTGCGTTTGATCATCTAATTATCGGAACTTTAGGTAATAAGTAAACGGAGTTGTACGATAAGTTGGCTCGATATGCTGCGATTTGGACGAAATGTAAGCATCAGGCGCTGGGCGCCACTCGAGTGGTGCACTCGGCGGTGGTGTCATCTGTGGTGGCTGAAAAAGTCGGTCCTTGTGATAAACAACGTGCTGTCCGATCTGAATCGATGGGATGAGGTCATCGTCACTTAAATCTTGCGAAAGTGGCCCTTGCTGTTCTTTCCATAAGGTTCTGCTTACTGCCGGCTGATGGTACGGAGTTTGCGGAGTGGTTTGCGGTTCGTATAGTTCCGTGATTGGGACTGTAATGGAACGGCTGTCACATGTCGTGTATTCGTGAGGCGAGAAGCTGCCAAGCACAAGTCAAATCAGCTTAGAAAGGGAGCGGACGTAACGGGAGAAGCAAATGTACGCGCGCGGAGGAGCAAATATTTGGCCGAATGAGACGATTTTCCGGCGAGATATATGAACGATTCAGAAATTCAGACTGAACAGTCGACGTCAGAATTCAGTTGAAATTGATCAAGGTGTCTGAGTCCCACTTGAACGGAATTATTATTATTATTATTATTTTGATATTTTGATATAATTGAGATCTCTGGATCGTTCACGTTTCCCTAGAAACTTCGTTTATCCAAGCAAGCGTTTTCCTTTCTGCGTACGGGGTTGCGATACTGACCCTCCCACAAGGACTCCAGCGAATCGGCGAGTGGCTGATAAGCGGTATTGCTCGGTCCCTGCTCAGAATTCGCTCGAGTGCGAGAAGCGGAGTTGCGCCCGCGAGTGGAACTTCTCATGTAAACTTCCTCCATGTTGTACGGATCCGCAGTGTGCCAAGTCGCGCCGTACCATGGCGTGAAGGCGGTCACCGGCAATGTCGAACGATTCCCAATCGGAAATGTTTGCAGCGCGGGCGTCCAGATAGATTGCAGCGAGCTGGTGAGCTGATTCTGTTTCGATGATAATACGAGATATGAACGATTCAGAAATTCAGACTGAACAGTCGACGTCGGAATTCAGTTGAAATTTATCGAGGTGTCTGACTCTCACTTGAGTAGAATTATTACTATTTTTATTATTATTATTATTCGACTTATGATCTCTCTCTCTCTCCCTCTCTTTTTTTCTCTCGCGCACACGAGTGTTTCGTTCACTTATCTTTGGCTTTCTAATGGCGAATTCAGAGCGCACGTTACTTACCACTGTGGAGGGGTTGTCATTTAGATTCGAGCGGCTATTAACATTCTCATTAACCGACTGGCTGGGAGTAGTCCCAGATTGCACCTGACTCTGTTGGATTGCTGCGTCAAGGGGACACAAAGTTATCGTCTGATTTGATCTCGAAGTCTCGCGCGCGCAAAGTCTCCTCGCGGAGACGTGAAATTTGATTATATTTTAATATACACGCGAATTGTACCGTGCGATTGTTGCGGCGTTGTCGACGGAGCCGGAGATATCAAAAGCGCGGCTGTTTGGGAAAGCAACGTTTGAGGCGACTGTGTTTGATGAAACAACGTTTGGGGCGAAAACGTTCGATGATCAATCCTTTGAGGCGCAATTGCTTGAGGCACAATTGGCCGAGGCGCAATTGACCGAGGCGCAATTGTTTCGGGCACGATTGTTCGGACTGCAAACGGTTGAGGCGCGGGTGCAAACGTTTGAGGTGCGAGCGCCGGAAGCAAAGTCCTCTGCATCTCAAAAGTTTGAGGCCCAAATGTTTGGGGCATAAACATTTGCGGCATAAACGTTTGAGGCGCGAACGTTTGAGGCGCAAATGTTGAAGTCTCGTGAAAGTTGGTTGTCGGGTCGTAGTACATTTTCTAAAACGGAGCAACCACATAAGACACTTGTAGTGCATAAGATCCCAAGTAAGTTTCGAGGCGGTATCAAAGGGACACTCACCCCATTATAGTTGGCGTAATACATTTCTCTTGTATTGTTCTTCGCAGTTCTCTTCCTTGTAGATCTTTCTTTGTGTACCATAATAAACAAACACTGGCACTTTACAATCCGTAAGAAGAAATTCGCAATCGCAATCTCATGTGACTCGTTCGTGTTGACAGAATATTCCGCTTTCGTGTTTTCGGCTATTTCTGAAAGAGCACGAGGAGATGATTTCGTACGCTATTTTTACGTACAGCTCTTTGTACGCGATATACAATTGCAAACTTACAGCGTCGTCCAATTCTCAGCCATTCAGCCGGGCTCTAGCAGCAGTCTCGGGAGACGAACGTTTTCATGCTTATCGTCGGGCCAACATTCTGCCTGCCGCTACAATTTTCCGCAAGTGTTTGTGTCCCGTACGAACATGTACTTGAGAGAGCGTGACTTCAGACGCAAAACTGAAATACTCTTAGTTTACCTTTCTATGTGTGCCTTCATGCGGACGAATTATCACCGATGTCGGGTTTAACCGACGACGCGTATTCGCCGATATAAACATTCAACGACACATGTGCGAAATATGATATTATTTGTTAATATCGCGATCACACGTTTCGATCGTGTTTGTTATGGTAAATATATACATATATATATATATATATATATGTATAAATTTAAATATCTAATTTGATTTAAACATATCTAAACAGATTTAAACATTTCATGCGTATAAAGAAAGGATGCATATAACTGCATAAATATTTAAAAAAAAATTATATATATAATTTATATATACGTATAATACGTACATATAACTTTTTATATGTATATAATTTGTGCAGTTATATGCATCCTTTCTCTATACGCATGAAATATTTAAATCAAATTAGACATTTAAATTTATCTTAATTCAAATAATTTGTTTCCTTCTGTACGAGAGTCGACCGATATCAGTAATTAATCTCAGTATCGTAAGGCGAACTCTCAGTGTGAGCGAAATGTTTCTGTCGGCGATTCCAACATAATCTCATGTAAACACCTGCGTTACTTATAAAATTTCCAACTAAAGAAACTAATTATTATATATGCTTTTTCACATAAAACATATGTTGTAATATTTGTAATATCTGATCTAAAAATGCATTTCCATCGAAGCGTTCAGTTATTAATTTTCATTCGTCTTTCATCTCCCGAAATTTCGAGCTCTAGTGATTTTCTAAAACATGCCTGAACCGGCATTCTGCAAGACATCGATAACACCTGCGTGTGTCTCAATCAGACTACAGGTAATATTTGTTTTTGGTGCATTACCGTCTGTGAGTAACAGAGTACGGAACTTGTGGACTAACGAGGTTACCTGTCGCTGAAAAAGAGATCCCAAAGTGGAAGCAGGCTTCTGAATTCGCTGGCGCCACTTTAAACTTATACACGGCATGACATTTTTCATGTCTCGTGCGTCGCGACGCGGCAGTGATTCGGCTGGCTTCAATTGACACATCCTCGACGATGAATGAGGCAAGGATGAAAATGTGCAGCGAAAGCAAGAGTAGACCAAGACCCCGAGTGTCCAATATACTCGTACAGGAAGCGACAATGACTCTCCGACTGAAGCAACAGAAACTTCCACTTGGCACAATGACTTGACGAAGCAACAGCTTTTACTTCGTCCTGGTTGAATCGACTCGCCGAACGTGGCTTGACCTATTTTCATTTCCACACTGCTTCGATTCATATCTCACGATATCGTCGGTAGTCGGCGCGGAGGAAGAACACGTTCTGCAGCGGCATTTTTAATCCGGGCGCGACGGGCGGGCGGAATTGAAACGTACGCGCGCCCGCTGTTTAAGGGAACGTACGCCGAAGACAGCAGATTCGAATCGCCGAGAGGCGTCATCGCGACTCGTCCGTGAAGCAGCGGGCGACGAATTTGCCGTCGAGCTTTTTACGCCCGGTGAACTCGGGGGTACGGTCGGCCGGCCGGCACGTGGCCGGTGGAAGGAGCGCAAGGTTGCGCCCAACGAACGGACTTTCGGCAGGAGCGCTGAAAGGGGGCACCTTGCGCCAGCTGTCCGACGTTCTTTTAGCCGGGAAAAGTCCGAGTCATCGGGTCTCGGTATCCTCTCTTTTGTTTGATTAAAGATATCGCGTCCCCGCATAAGTCGCATGTACAGTCACTTCTCCAGGAACGCGAATTACACTCGACGCCAGCGCGAGCCGCAGCGCGAGAGAGCGACTACTATCGGAGCGACGCAGGTGCGGCGGGGAGTTATCTATTGTTTGAGCACGACCCTCGTTACTTTGCATGACTCAAGTTGCAACGCGAGACTTCAGTTCGAGGGAGAGACGCGATTCGCGGCGAGGGCGCGACCGAAGGAGATTCGTGACTCTTTCGGAGAGTTCTATTTGAGATTCGATCCAATATATCGAATTATTTCTATATATTCTTAGGCATTCTGTAAGCGGATCGTCAATTCGATATTTGACTTACGTTTTTATTCGTCGGAGATATACTCGCTTCTCGATGCACGACGAGTGCCGTTCCCGCTCGCGACGCGAATTCGGACCGACGCATGCAGCGATCGAAATCAATATTGCGACACCACCGAGAGTCCCCCGGTCTCTCTCTCTCTCTCTCTCTCTCTCTCTCTCTCTCTCTCTGTCCTCTCTCCGGGGATAAAATTATAATCCATAGTCATCCAAGGCGCGCGCCCCGCGCGCGGATCATTAATTTACGCGTTTATCGCGGTTTATCGCTTCGCACCAGCAGCGCCACGATACCGTTCGGGCCAGTTTTTTACCTCGGCGGCGCGGCGGCGGCGAACGATGCTTATCGCGCGCGCGGCCGCCCGAGTGAGTCGTCAGCGTAATTTTAAATTTGCGATGCGTCGTGCCGCCATTACGGCGCGTTTGAGCCTCTTGCGAGCGACGTTACCGCGCTTCTCGCGGCTAAACACGGTGCCCCGCGGCGGCGCGATCCGCGCTTACGACCCGCGTAAGTACGAAGTGAAAGAGGGCCAAGCGATCAGAGAGCGATCGCCGGGCGAGAGAGCCGGCTCTCCCTCGTGCGGATTCGTCGCTGCGGAGGAACGAAAAAGTCGACGCGGGTACCTGGCCCCGCGTCAATCTCGAATCGAGGGGAGGAGGAGCGACGAGAGCGCGATTCAGCGGATAGAACGAGACGGCCGCGCGCGACGAGCATTTTTACAACTCGTGTTGCATTACACAACCGGCCGCGCTTCATCGATCCGGGTAGCACGTGCCCGACCATAAGCGGGTGCAAATGAGCGGGCATAAAAATAAGTGTCGTGCAGAACAGAGCATGTTGTGTCTTACCGACGTCCCTCCCCCGTCCTCGCCGCCCCTTCTTCTCCTGAAGCCGCCCTTTCTCTTGAGACACGCTTGAACTGGGAGACAGCTGAAAACGTACGTACGTGCGCGCATCATGCCGCTCATGATCGCGCACGCGACATGCATGTGCATTGCGTGCACATAGATTTATGCACATGTGTGTAAATAAATACCCGAGCGCGTTTCTATAGGTCGCTTCCAAAGCGGTCTCCGATTATCAGCGGCGGGAATGCATCGAGTCGAGCGGCTGGCTCTTCGCGCGAGTCTTCGGCCAAAAGTCGAATTACTCAAATCGCACTTTTCGTGAATTTTCATTTCCAGCTTGAGAAATTGCAAATCTGCAAAGTGCGCGAAGTGTATTTTTTCTCGTAAGTTAAATGTATAACAAATTGTATAACTAGGCTTCGATGCAGTCTTCATAATTTTTTAGTTTCAGCATTAGAGAGCAAAAGTAGGATCGGCGGGTTTAGCTTCTGAAGAGTGATACGTAATAATCATGTTCAACAATGTTGAGTAACGCGATGTTGAAACACGGTAATCTCTAAAACACGTGTCTCCATATGCATGTGTGTTTAGAGAAAGGGGGAGTTGTACGGGCGCGTAAATATGTCATATGGCTCCCAGGGCTCGTGTTACCGGCAGTTTGAGGGTTAAATTCCAATTCGTCTGAAATCCTTGTCTACATATTATTCCGATAATATCTACCGCCCGGCCGAGCGTCGGCCGGCGTATCGCATTATCTGAGCGGACTTTACCCTCACCGACCCACCGCCTAATCCGCCGAAGTGGAATTTCGTTCGTCGTCCGGCGACGTTCCCAGCGGAGTTCATTACGTGAATTATTGAAAAATAAAACCGAGACACCTTTGAAGCGTTTTCACGGCGACGGGTGAGCTCTCTCGGCGCATTTACGTAATGACATCGCCGGGAGATTCGAGGCGATTTCCGCGAACGAAAATCCGCACGGTCGATACTCGCGCTTTAACACTGCGCACGGGAGGTTCATCAATACCTACCGAAGCGGACAAATCAAATATTTCCGTAAAATCGCACAGGTTTCTCTTCTTTCAGACACAGTCAGAAATGAGAGGTTTCAAGCAACCTGACGATTATCTCCGATTACCTGCCAATGGGGAAATCGTTCGTCCCACGAAGTGCACTCTCCGGGTAGACTCGTTCGGCGAGTCGAGAAGGGTGGACCGAAGGGGTATTTGCGCGCAGAGCGGCAGCTTTGGAAACGCTCTGTAGATGCACTTAACGACGGTATACGCGCGTTTATGGACGCACGAGAGTGCCGCGCATTAAACCGGATCGGGTAAGGCGAATTATTTATTATCATACACTTGGCCCAGTTTAAGGCGCGCACGTTGGGGTTGCCTGTGCAATTTCCACACGACGATCTCTCATCGGCACGGCCTGTGCGCGCCGACACGCGTACACGATCGTAGGCAGGTAGGCAGGTATATACCTGCCTACCTATGTAACACACAGGTATGCAGCAACCTGCGCGCCTCGAGCCGATGATGTATCGCGAGCGGAGCGCGGCGCTGCTTTTCCTCGCTTCTTCCAGGATATCTGATCAGCCGGCGGAAGCGGACGCGAGCTTGCCGGCGAGCTTCACGAGAATGACTCTTGCGGAGTCATTGGGATAACCCGAGTGGTTTGAAACGGGAAACCGGTTCAATGACGATCGGGAATCGGTTTTATCAGCCGAGAGGCCGCGCGCGTGAGCGCCAAGCAACTTTCCACGATTGAGATTGAAATTGTTTCTGGACCGCGTGAGCGCCAAGCAAGAGTAGCACAAAAGAGAACGAGAGAATCTTTAGTTAATCTTTATGAGGCAAATATGAATGATGGGACGTTTAGAAAAATATTAGAATGTTGGGGGTGTAGCTCGCAAAGCTGGCTGATGATCGATAATTTGTTGTAACAAATACGCATATACGTTCCCACCGATCGTCAGCCTGTCAACTTTGTGATACATTTCCAACGTTGTACACAGCGCGAACATTGTGACTTGACTGAAGGTATTTTCCTAAATATCTCTCATTATTCATACATCTTGGATTTTACTTTCATTTCTCTCTTGATTAACATCTTGTCGTATCGAGATCGAAT